GAAACTTTTACCTTGTAGGGGTGAGGAGGACGCGGATGGGGGGTGGGGGGGTGGAAGCAGTTGCCCAGAGGTCCTTTCCTCCAGAGGGCCAGAGTCGCCAAGGGCAAGGGCTTCTGCGGCTCAGCAAAACTCAGCCCCGAGTTCTTCTGCTTCCTGGCTGTGTGGCTTGGGCGGGTCACGCAACCTCTCTGACCCGCTGTGTTTCATCAGTACAGTGTGGCCAGTGTGTCTCGTTCATGGGAGGCAGTGTCTGGCACGGCATTGGAGGGGACAGACCCTCAGAAAGTGGTCAAGGTGGGAGACGAGACTGGTGGTGGCAGGGTCACCAAGTGCCTGGAGATGGCGTTCGGGAAGGTGCTGCTGGAAGTGGGGAGCACTGCAGTGGGAGTCCTGGCCCAAAGCCCACGTTGGTGCCGAAGGGAAGCACGGGGGTAGGGGCTGTGGCCTGGGGTCCTTGCACTGCTGAGCAGGCCACCTAGCTTGGTGAGGGTGCACCTGTGGGTGGGGCTCCTGCGAGGCCTCCTTCCTGTCTGCTCACCCAGCTCGCTGGGGGGGCCCAGGTCACGGGCACGGCTGATGCTCTCTGGGTGTACGTGCGGGGAGAGCCTGGGAGGGGGCCGTGTTCCGGCTGGGCCCCTGCCAGCACCCCTCGGCCCCCGCACCCCTCCCCGGCCCTGCCGCTCTGACTGCTGATTGCAGGGGCCAGGCTGGCTGGCTGGGAGCCGGGCTCAGAGCCGGGTTCCCAGCAAGGCGAGGCCTCCTGGGACCCTGCGCGCTGGGGGCTCTGTCCACCCTGCTCCACCTCTCTTCTGAGGGCCTCGGGCTGGCCGGGGCAGGTGCGGCGTTGACCGTGATGCCAGGCTCTGCTCCTGAGGCGCGTGGTCTGGGGAGCACTGGTGTTCCTTACCTGGTGCTCCCAGGTGGCAAAGCCAGGACCCTGCTGGAGGACTTAGGCCCAGACCCCCGGCACGGTTCCACCTGGGAGCCTCCCAGAGGGCCTGTCGGTGAGGGTGAGTGGGATGTGGAGATGGCTCCCTGGGTGCCCTGCGCTGGCTCCTAGCCCCAGTGCCCCGGTGTCCCCATCGACACACAGCAAGGGGTGGGCGGGATGATGGCTCCCTCAGCCGTGGGGAGGAGCCAGTGAGGGCCAGCGGTGTCCAGCACAGGGTGAGGTGCTCAGGACGTGGGGGAGTCCTGGGGCGTGAGGCCCGAGAGCTGGGCAGGGGAACACCAGGCCCCCGGGGATCCACCTCTCCAACCCACCTGCGCAGGGGCCCCTCTTCTCATTGGCCGCGTGGACAGCTCTTCCTGCAGGACTTTGGCCTGGGGAGTCCCCTCTGCTGTGGGACGCCCTCTTGCCAGAGGGGCCCGGGAGCCCCGGAGCGTGCGGGGAGGGCGCCCAGGCTGCTGGGCTCCTGCTGCGAGGCCCCAGGGCAGGAGGCCCCTGCCTGGGCCGCAGGGCCCCGCCTCGCAGGGCCTGCGCCCTCCCCTCTGCCCTTGCATTTCCCCTTCCTCCTGCGCTTCCTCTCCCCTGCGCGGCCCCGCAGCCCCTTTGTTTGCCTGGGCAGGCCGGCCGCCCGCGGTTATATTTAGGTGGCAGGTGTGGGAGCCGAGAGAGCCGGGTGGCCCGCGGCACCGGCCATCCCGCCCACGTGATGCCCCCGCGCTATAAATAGCTCCCGGACGCGGGGCCGCCGAGCATCCCGGGGAGGCCAGGCGCCCCGTGCTCTGGGTCCCGGTCCCTCCCGGTCCCTCCTGGTGCCTGGTCCGCCCCCCACGGATGGAGGCGGCGGCGGCCGGCTGTGCGCGTGCGTGAGCCCGGGTGAGCTGGGGCAGGCGGGGGTGCCGGGGGACCTCGGCCTCGGCCGGGGGAGGGGCTGCACCCCTGGGACCAGCTCCAGGCGCCGGGGGCTTGCGCAGCCCGGGGCGTGGTGGCCCCTGCCCAAGACCCTGCGGGCGCTGCGGGTCCCAGCCCTGCCCACGGGGGGCTCCCGGTGCTCCCGTGCCTGGCCTCTCCTGGGACCCCATACCGTGATCTGTAATCCCCCCCCCCATCTCCCTGGGTTGGGAGGGGCTGCTCCGCTCTGAAGCCCAGGCAGGGAGCAGGGGGGCAGGGGGCAGGGGGCGGGCTATAGCCTCCCTGAGTCTGGACTTGCCCTCCTGTGAACCCGGCTTCAGGGTTGCTGTTGCCGCCTCGACTTGAGATTGAGGAAACCCACAGTCTGTCTGGCCGGGGCCCAGAGGTGCTGCTGCCTTTCCCTGGCCTGTCGCCTCACCTGCGGACCCGGATGACTCGGGTCTCCTAACGGGTCTTCACACGATGGCTGCTCTGGACACAGCAGAGGGTTCGGTGCCTGCAGGTGGAGGAGGCTGCTGGGGGCCAGGAGCCGGGATGCGGGCCACGGGCAGGAGGGCCCGAGGGGACCCATTGGCTGCTTCATGGTGCTGGGCATGGGGGTGGCTGCCGGCGAACTTGGGTCACCCCTGCCTAGGGGCCCCGGGGCTCACTGGGGGGTGTCTTTGGGAGGAAGGGCCCCCTGGGTCAGCAGGGGTGAGGCATCCCTGCCTGCTTCCACCTCAATTCCACACAGACAAGCGAGGTGTGGGGCCAGACCCCAGTCCAGCCTGGGCCAGACCCCTGACCCCCATCTAGCCTGGATCCTGCTCCTGCCCCCCAGTCTAATGCCTCACTCCTGCCCGTGGGGGGCAACTTCAGCCCCAAGGACCTGTTCAGGGAGCCTGTTCAGGGAGGCCCTGTGCTGTGGCCCCCGGGTCTCCCCGGGTGGACGTGGGGTGGCAGGGCAGCCCCTCGGGGAGAGGCTGGTAGTCCCGTGGCTTCCTTGGGCCTTTTTTCTTCTTACTTTCTGGTAAACACACACACATGCACACACTCGGGATCATCGTGCCGTCCCAGGAGGGACAGGTGTTTGTGTGGTGTTCAGGGCGCGTGCGGCTGTGTCTTCCCTCACCTGTGCTCCGAGCTGAAGCTTGCTCTGGGCCCGCTTGGCTTGGGGCCGCCTGAACCGGGACGGGCTTCCTTCTCTCTGCCTGTTTGCCCCTCCGGGGGCCGAGGGTGAGGTGTGGCACCTGCCCTGAGCCTGGGAACACCGGGTCAGCTGGTCCCTTCTTGCCCAGGGTCCCAGGCCTTGGGCCCTTCCTGCTCCTAAGCTGAGACCCCATGGGCTCCGCCTGCCTGGGGGGACAGCTGGAGAAGGGGTGCTGGGGCAGGGGCAAAGGTAAGAGATGGTGGGTTGGGGGATGGAGGGCCTGGCTGGGTGAGCAGGTGAGTGCTGCTGGTGGGGCTGGGACCACCTTCAGTGGCTGGAGGGGTCATGGCCAGAGGGACCATGGGGGCATCTCTATAACTGCTCATTGTGCAAGTGGGGAAACTGAGGCCATCGATGTGCCCAAGGCCCCCCAGCCAGTCTGTGGGGTGAAGGTGGGGCTGGGTGCTCCTGCTGGGGTCCCTGGGCCAGGAACTTGGGGCCAGAGAGGGAGAGACAGTGTGGAGGTGCCTGATGGCTGTCTCTGCAGCCTGGCCGTGTCCCTCCCTGGGCCCTCGGTGGGGTGACCCACCCCTGGCCACCTGCACTGTCACCCTTGGCGTGTGCCTGGTGGCCGCTGGCCCTCTGGCCATGGCGGTTGGCCTCTGCTTCTCCCCGAGGGCAGAGCCCTGCTTGTTTACTCCCGTGCCTGGCCAGCCCTGTGGGTGAGTGGTGGAGAAGCAAGGGGTGGAGGCTGGCAGGAGCCGGAGGTTCCCACGGGGCACCCGAGAAACGTGTTTACGGTGGTTTGCCGCCGTGAGCGGGGCTGGAACCCCGTGTCCCCCCTGTGTCCCGGCACTTTGGCATCCGGGCCTGACCCCCCTTCCTGAGGATGGGCCGCCCCGGAATGATCTGGGCTCAGAAATTCCACAGAGGCCCGGAATTCCGCAGGGCAGTGTGACTGTCCCTGGGCCGGGGTGGGTGTCTGCCGGTCACAGGCTGCAGGGGTGGCCGGGCCCCAGGGGCGGGGGCAGACTAGGCTAGGGCGGGCCTCTTGCTACAGACTGCCTTGAAATCTGCTCACTGGGGTGCAGCACGCTGCTGGGGTGTGTGTCCCCGGCATCCCTCCCTCCGTCCTTTTTCAGGCCACCCTGGTGTGGCCGCCAGGGCTGTGAGTCCGCCCGGTGGGAGCTGTCCTTCCTTGTGCTCCCAGGTGGGGAAGCTGAGGCCTGACGAGGGTCCCTCACTCCCCCGGCACCCCTCCCTGGCCGCAGCGGCTCCCCGGGACCCCACCGTCTGTTCATTTTCTCTCCTGTCTTCCTGCAGACGGTGCCTGCTGCTGACCAGCCGGGGATTTATGGAGAGGGCCTCGGGGGGCAGCTCCGGATACTGCCGGGCCCAACATCACTGCCACGCCAGCTGCTGAGGAGGCCCCGGCGCCTCTGGGCCTCACCATCGCCCCCGCCCGCCCATGGCCCCTGCTGGCCCGCCCCAGGCCGGCCCTGCCGCCTGAGCCCCCGGGCCCCCCGCGGGACTCGCAGTTCCCCGATGGGGTAACGTGACGGAGGCCCCGCCTGTCTGTGCCCCCGCCTGCCGCCCCCGCCCCCAGGCTGCCCCGTGGCTTCAGCCGCGCTCGGGCTTCTCCGGCCCCGGGGGATCGGGGCGCCCCTTCCAGCGCAGGGGGCCGCTCGCCCTCCACGGGTGCCGCACGGAGCCCCGGCGGCAGACTCAAACTGGGCTTCGTGAAGGGTCCCCGGCGGGGCTTCGGTGGTCCCCTTGGCCCTCCGCGGACCGGCTCCCAGAGGCGGGGGCCCGGCCGGCGCTCCGTGGGGGCTGCGCGTTTCCTTCTCCGTAAAGAGCTGGACTCCTCGCCGCCCGGCTCCTCCGCCTCCCAGCTATCTGCACCGTATCTGTGCGGCTGGGGCGGCTTGACGAGGCCTGTTCTGGAGTCTCGGTCTCCTCGGGGCGTGGGGGGCCTTCCCTGCTGCGGTCCCACAGCCCCGTGCATCCCTCCTCCTGGGGCCCGGCCGTGTCCGGGGGAGCATGGCTCGGATGAACCGGCCCGCCCCCGTGGAGGTGAGCTACAAGAGCATGCGCTTCCTCATCACGCACAACCCCACCAATGCCACCCTCAGCACCTTCATCGAGGTGAGTGGGCCCCGGGGGGGTGTCCGATGTGCCTCCCCAGAGTCGGTGGGGCCGGGGTTTGGAGTTGCAAACCCTTCGGGGCAGAACTGTCACTCTGGTTGTAGGACCCCAAGGCGGGGGGCCTGGGGTGTCCTGAGGAGCTCTGTGTGAGGGTCAGCAGCGCCCTGGGGGCCTGCAGGGTGGATGGCTAGGGCGGGGGGGCTCCATGCTAAGCAGACACAGAGAAGCGGGTATCACCTCCTCCAGCATCACCCATGGCTCGAGCAGTCCCCAGCCTCTGTGTGGAGGCTGAGCAAGAGGGAGGAGGGAGGAGGGAGGAGGGAGGAGGGAGGAGGAAGGAGGGAGGGGTCCCACCCTGAGAAGTGGCCGCTGACACGGCTGGGACAGGCACACAGGCTGGCAGGGCGTGGAGTGGCCCCATGGCCAGCCCAGGCTGCAGGAAGCCTGCTGGCTCTTGGGAGGCCTTGGGTTAGAACATGCTGGGCTGGAGGCTTCCGGGCGAAGATGTCTGGGAGGAGGGGCTGGGCAACAGTCCGAGCTGGCCACGGGGAGGAGTGACCCCTGTTGGGGTGAACTGATGTGTTTGCAGAGCCTGCAGCTCTCCACATGCTCTCCTGTAGAAGCCTGGACTCTGTAGAACTCCTTACTGTTTGCAGAGCCTGCACAGGACTGTTTGCAGAGCCTGTGATGGTGCATGAGTGCATTTGTGGTCTCAGACCGTCAGCCCTTCCCTCTGCGACATGAGAGCAGCCCCCACGGGGGCTTGTCGTAATTAATCGGGAACCTGGGCCTATATAGACGGAGATGGGGGCACCCTGTCATCAGGGACCTGGGGCCTGGACACTGTACCAAGAGCCCTGCATGGAGGGCTGCCCCTTTTCACAACTGAGACCCTTGAGGTAATAGGATGTGGGGAAAGACTCAGTCCAGCAGTCAGCCTGTGACCAGGCTCAGGGTCTCTGTCTGACCAGGGTCAGGGTTCAGGGTGTGACCAGGTCAAGGTCAGTCTATGCTGAGGGTCAGGGCTCAACCCTGGGCTGGGTGGCTCCAGACTTTGCTGCAGGCACAGAGGAATTTCGAGGTGCCCCTGTGGCCTCAGAGCCCTGTCCGCTTCCGTCTGTCCTGCATTCTCAGAATGGCTGTGTCCTGCTGTCATTGTGCCCAGTGTCCTGCATGATAAGCAGGGTCCAGCAGATGACTGCTCAGTGCTCCCAGAATAGCTGTTGGAGCAGGTGGGGTGGGAGTGGCCCCTGCATGTGGCTCCCATGGAGTGGTCCCCGCGCTTACAGGATAAATATAAACAGCCTGGCTGTCAACTACCTTGACCTTTTCTCTGGTAGCCTGGGGCTTCCCTGCTGGTGTGCATGGCCTGGCTCCCTCCTGGCCACCATCTGAACAGGTGCCTGCCCGCGTGCCTGAGGTCGCCCTGCCTGCTGAGGCCTGTCCCTGGAGGTTCTGAAGGCCCTCGTGTGGGGCCCATGAGACCCTGGCTACGAGGGCAGCTCTGAGTGGGGACCTTGTAGGGCCACGTGAAGGCCGCATTGTCCTGCCCCTGACTTGTCTGGAAAATGCTGGTACCATGGGGGCTCCTGAGCGCCTGAGGTGAGGGTGGGAATGTTCTGGAAGCCAGGCTCAGGGCTGGCTAGCCACACTGCAGTTCAGCAGGTGGGGAACGCCCTGCCTGAGAAGCGTCGGGAAAGCCTCTTCCACCCATAGTGACTCGTTGGGTGGTTATGCTTGGCATCAGCCCTTCTGCTTTGTTGAGGGGGCCGCGGACGGGGGTGCGCACCCCGGAGCCCTCGGCGCCAGCCCAGCCTGACTTCGCCCTCCCCACTGCCAGGATCTGAAGAAGTATGGGGCCACCACCGTGGTGCGAGTGTGCGAAGTGACCTATGACAAGGCTCCTCTGGAGAAGGACGGCATCACCGTTGTGGTGAGGGCCCCTGGCTCCGGGAGCACGGGGCGTGGGGGGGCTGCGGGGCGGGGGCAGCTGGGTCTATGAATTTGGAGCCCCGTGCCGGGAGGCAGGCCTTGCTGCGCTCCCCCCGCCACCCCCGGCATGTCGGGGCCAGGCTGCAGGACGTATAGGCACATGTCTGGGTGGCCCAGCCTGTCCCTGGCCTTGGGGCCTCGGAGCGGGAGTGCCTGGTGTGTGCACGGAGCCAGGTCCTCCCCGGGCCTGGTGGCACCACCGCCACTCACGGCGCACCTGCTCCATGGGGGCTCTGCCGTGGGAGCCTGAGGCTCGGCTGCGGGAGGTGCCGGAGCTGGACCCCCTGGGGAGGGGACCTCATAGCAGCACCTCGCCCCCCAGGCAGCACGCCCTGGCCTCCACGGCCCCGCGGGACGGGCGTCCTGAGCAGCGGGAGGACAGGCCACTGTGGCCCCTGGCCGGCTTGCCGAGCTGGGCAGTCTGGGGGCTCCTGTGTGTCTTGCTGCCTGCTGTATGGGGTGTGTGGGTGGGCAGGGGTGGGAGGGGAGGGCAGGTGCACCTGTGCCGCCCGTCCCCGGGAGGCTCTCTGCGGAGGCTGTGGGGAGGGAGCCTTGGAGCTGTTTCCTTGGTCCCCTGCCCTGGGGACCGAGTCCAGGCAGAGGATGGGGTGGCTGTGCCACCTCACGCCCGCGGGGTTGTGGCGCCTCCCCTAGCGCAGGGCTGCCCCAGGCACGGAGTGGGGGTCCAGCGGGGCCCCCCATCCCCAGCTCTGCGGGGCCGTGCCTGCTGGTGTCGAGGAGGATTAGTTGGTAGCTTTGGCTCAGGGCCACGCCTCCCCGTCAGCCTCTGTGGGCCCCTTGGCCTCGCCCTTGGTGCCCACCGGCTCTGGCTCTGGAGCGGCCCCTGCTGCCCCCCTGAGCGTCGGTCCTCGCAGTGGCCTGGCTATGCTGACCCCGCGGCTCGCCTCGCTGCCCCCTGCACAGTGCCTGGGCCGCTGAGTTTTCAAAACCGAATGAATCCTCGAACGTCTGGAGAGGTCCCCGCCGTAGCTGAACCGGGTGTCAGCCCACCGCCCTTTCTTGGCCCCTTCCTGGTCGGTAACCGGCCGGGCCGTGTGGTGCGGCAGGCGCCCGCGCCAGCCAGGTGTGCGGTCCAGACCCCTTGGGGCTGCTGAGCCAGAGACCCTCAGGCTGGTCGGGGTCACGGTGGGCGGGCACGGAGGGGACGGGCTCAGGTGCTCGGGAAAGAAGAGGGTGCGGTGTTCTGGGAGGGCTTCCTGGAGAAGGGGCGGCCGAAGTGAGCAGGAGAGGATGAGGAGCTCTCTGCCCCCAGGGGCCTGCCCTCCCGCACCCTCGTGGGGTCCCTTGCTCGTCGTCAGGGCAGCCCAGCCCCCCAGCCTCACGGCCTTCTGGCCTCCGCAGGACTGGCCGTTTGACGACGGGGCGCCCCCGCCTGGTAAGGTGGTGGAGGACTGGCTGAGCCTGCTGAAGGCCAAGTTCTGTGACGACCCGGGCAGCTGCGTGGCCGTGCACTGCGTGGCCGGCCTGGGACGGTGAGCTGGGCGGGCGGGGCCTGCTTCCTGGGGTCCCGCGGTCTGGCGCGCCCTCGGCCGTGACCGCAGGGAGGAAGTCCTTCCCCAAGTATGACCCCACGGCCCGCGGCTGGGTTACCGCGTTGTCCCCGTACTGGAGCCGGACGCGGCTGCCAGTGGCCCCCCCAGACACAAAGAGCCCCTCCAGCCAGATGTGACCAAAGTGACCCAGGCGGTGCACCCCTGTTTCCAGGGCAAGGCTTGCTGGCCGGCATCGGGCCCTCCTCTCGGGCTGGACGCACGCCCAGGGTTGCTCTCCCTCTGACTGTCCAGCACGGTTACACCCGGGGAGCCTGAGGCCCCGAGAGGGTGCCTGGCCCGCCTGGGGCCACACAGCACGTGGTGGGGCTGGGCTGCTGCCTGTGCCGTCCACGGGGGAGCCTGGGGGGCGGTGAGGGTGAAGGCTTGGGCCTGGGCCTGGGCCTGGCCTGAGCGGCGGCCCGGCAAGGGAAGGGGCGGGGGAGCCGACCGAGGCTTGGTGACTCAGCCCTGCGTCTGTCCCCAGGGCTCCGGTCCTTGTGGCTCTGGCTCTCATCGAGAGTGGGATGAAGTATGAAGATGCCATCCAGTTCATCCGACAGTGAGTGGCTGGCACGGGTGGGCGCGGAGGGAGTCTGGGTGGAGGGGCCGTGGTCCTCCACGCCCTGCCCCATCTGGCCAGTGGGTGCTCCTGACCCCCGGCCACAGGGTGACCTCACAGATGTCCCGGGTCCCACGCGGCCAGGCCACCCACCTGGGTGAGGATGGGTCCCTGTGAGGCTCCCGGTGCCGGGAGGGGCCAGTGAGGAGAGGCTCCCGGCTCTGTGGCCTGCGGCTGCGTGGACAGTGACAGAGGACGGGCTGCAGCACCGGGCAGGTCCAGACCCCAGCACCGAGCACAGCTCAGGCTTGACCCCGTGACCTTTAGAGGCGGTGAAGTGAAGTGGGGGCTGTGCTCGGGGGCCCTGGGACCTCTCCAGGGGGGCCAGTGTCAAGGCCGAGAGGCTCGGGAAGCTGTGCTGGGCACACACGTGTCTCTTCCACTCGTGCTCCATTGGCCAGAGCAAGGGCCATGCCTGAGGCCCTGGGGGTGGGACGGATGACCTCCTGCAGCCTTAGGTGTCCCCGGTGTCCCCTGCACCCTCACCTGTCACCTGAGGTCCCCCCTTCCATCCCTCCCTCCTGGGCTGCAGAGATGCCCAGGCTCCACCCCATGGCCAGGGGCTGGGGCAGTGCCCGGGTGAACGAGGGGCCTCGGGAGGGTGGGCGCCGCGGGGCTGCCTGGAGGAGGTGACAGCCAGGGCAGCCGAGGGCCAGCAGCAGCGACGGCGGGTGGGGAAGGGTGACGCCGGGAGGGGACGGCCCGCAGGGGCGGCAGTACAGCCTGCGAGCTGTGCCTGGAGCTCCCGGGGGCCTGGCCGGTGCCGGGCCTGCCCCCACCTGCCCACCCCCCTGTCCCGTCTCTCCAGGAAGCGGCGCGGAGCCATCAACAGCAAGCAGCTCACCTACCTGGAAAAATACCGGCCCAAGCAGAGACTGCGCTTCAAAGAGCCGCACGCGCACAAGACCAAGTGTTGCGTCATGTAGCTGGGGGCTCCGAGCAGGCACCCCGCGCCCCGTACCCCCTGCCGCGGCTCACCTTCTGTCCCGGCGCCTCGGCACCCCACGCCCGCCGGGCCAGCTCGCTCTGCGTGCCCCGTGCCGGCCCCGTCCTCCGTTTCCCCGCGTGTCCGTGCGCTCTGTCCGCCCCTCTGGACGCGCGCCTCCCCTTCCTCCTGCCCCCGTGGCCCTGTCCCCCTCCGCGCGTCTCTCTGAGGCTCAGTGGGGCGCCCCTGGCCCTTGCCCTCCTGCCCTGCCCTCCCACCCGGTCCCCCGGGCAGCTTTCCTCTCAGGCTCCTTTGTCAGGGAGCAGGTGGACTTTTTAGCCACTGGGCCTGACCCCTCCTCCACGGCCTCGCGCCCTGACCTGTCCTTGGCACTTTCAGTGATTGGGTCTGGAGACCGTCAGATGTCCTGGACACTCGAAGGCAATAAACAGGACCCTGTGGCTGTGTGTGCGCGTGGAAAGCGGGGTGCGGGCCAGGCGGGGTGGACGGTGCCCCCCCCAGACTGGGTGGATCCCCGGGAGGTCCTCCTGCACAGGGGCTCCCCCTGGCGTCCACACCCTGTCCCTGTGCACCCCGGGTTAGGGCCAGGGGACATCCCTGATGTGCTGGAGGGAGCGCCACCCCATGTGGGCCCACCCAGTTTTCTTGCCATTTTGGGGGGCCCCGGGGCATTAGAAGGTGAGGCTGGGTCACCAGTGTCGCCCCTCTGCGGGGTGGGCGGGGGTTCACTTGGGTTTCTCAGGGCCCCCATCCAGTGGGGGCGCCGTCTGTCCTGCCCCCAGTAGGTGTCCTTGTTTCAGCCCTAGAGGCGCAGAGAAGGGTATGGGCAGTGGTGGCTGACTTGGTTCCAGGCCGAGGGGTGCACCATCCCATCAGCCCAGGGGATGGAGGGGGGCCAGAGGGGCAGAAGGTGACCCTGGGGCACAGGGGTGAGTGAGTCTGAGGGTGCAGGACGGGGCGGCCAGGGCCTGCCTGGGTGCATGGAGGGCCGTGCTCGGGTGCCCCTGTGGACGGCCTCCTAGAGCTGGGGCCAGCCCTTCCCTGGCCGAGGAAACGGGGGCACATGTGGGAGGAGGGGCCTGACTGCGTGGGGAGAGGCTGGGGGAGTGGGGTGTGACCCACCTGCGGTCACCCCCCCCCCCGGAGGCCACACCGATGGCATTTCCCCAAGGCACTGGGCCCAGCGCCTGTCTCAGGAGTCACCCTGGCCCGAGCTTCCCTCCGTCCACCCTGCACCCTACACACTGAGAGGTCTGCGGGGAAGGGCTCACCAGCTGCCTGGGTTGTCACCCCTTCTCCGCTTCCCGGGGAGGGGCCCCAGGGCCCAGGAAGGACAACGGCAGGGCCTCGGCACAGATGGGCGTGCTTGGATGCGGGTGCCCCTCCCTGGGCCCATTCCACTCGTACCTGAACGGAGGGCCCTGGGGTGGCCGTGTGGGCCGCCCCTTCCTCGGGGCCCTGGGGCTTGGCCAGCGGGGACCCAGGCCCGCTCCCCGTGTCCTGGCCTGCCACAGCTGGCCTGGCAGTGACTGTTACTGCGGACACTGCGAATGGGGCGCCTTCCGTGTGCCCGGCTCCATAGAGCCCAGCAGCCTGCTAGGTTGGAGCTGGGCCCCTCCCTGCCTCCAGACTCGAGGCTTGTCTGTCACAGCACTGTGGTCTGGGAACCCATGGGGGTGCAGGCCCACTCGGCCCCCGGCTTTCCCTGAGCCGGGCTTCCCGGAGGAGAGTGTGGAGGAGGCCTCCTTGCCCACGGCCCAGCCGGGGCCGGAGGGAGCAGCTGCTGGGAGAACCCAGGGAAGCCTCCCCTTTTAGGGGCGATGGTAGCCCTGCCCAGGGGCCACAGCCACCAGGCTGGCCCCAGGAGACCCTGTGAACCTGGAGCACGGCCCCCCTGCCCCGGTCGGAGGGTGGAGCACCCATGGGGGTCAGTGCACAGGATGGGAGTGGGGAAAAGGCAGACGCCCTCCCCAGAATCGCTCCTCTGTGGCCCTGTTCAGAGATGGACAGACGGATAAGACATAGGGAGGGGGAGATCCCAGCCCTCTCTGCGCCCCGGGGCGGGGAGGGGGGCCCAGCTCCACCAAACGAAGCACCTCCGAGAAGGCTAGTAAATCCGTGCTCTGTGAAGCTCGCTGTATTTTTTCAACCCAGGGTCCAAGATGCAGGGCCTCCCCCTGTGCCCGCCCTGGAGGCCGCATGCCTGCCCTGCGGGGCTCACAGTGTCTGGGGGGTGGGGTCTGGTGCGAGGGAGGGGAGGCCCAGGCTCCGCGGCTGAGGAGGGGCTGGCCGGGGGCTCCCTGTGGTGGGGACATGCAGGCAGGCCCCCGGGGCATGGGGCAGCGTGGCGGGCCCCCCGGGGGGGGAGGGTGGGAAGGTGCTCCAGGTGGAAGGAAGGGTCAGTGTGGGCACCCAGCACACAAGTGGGGAGCCGGCTGGCCTGGGGTGAGGCTCTGAGGAACTGCAGCGGGCAGGGGAGAGGCCCATCTGCCCATTTCACATGTGGGCAAACCAAGGCTGAGAAGGGAGGACCTGACTGATGGTCAGGTGGGTCTCCGGGTGGCCCCCTGGGAGGCAGGGGTGCCTGCGAGGTTAGGACCTCCTGTGGACTCAGCCCCGTGAGGGGTCTGGGAGGCAGGTCTTAGTACCCATTTTACAGATGGAATAGCTGAGGCTTGGGAAGCAGAGACCCTTGCCTCAGGCCACATGGCTCATCCCGGCCCCACTGGGAAGGTCTGGCTCTGGTCCTGACCGTCCCCACGAGGATGGGGTCAGGGTGGACGGAGACCTGGAGTCCCGTGGCCTGAAGGAAGCCAGCCAATGGCCGTTCCCCCCACCCCCCAGCTGGGCAGGGACTGTAGGGGTGAGGACTCGGGGGTCGGGGAGGCCCCGGTGAACGGCTCCATCCGCTGGCTTGGGCTCCGGTCAGGTGGGGTCGGGGGGGCATCCACCTGACCCCCGCAGGGGCGCGTGGGCAGGGAGGAGCGGTCACTGGGGGGCCCTGCACACATGTCATGGTTTGTCTCTGGGAGACCTGGCCTGTCGGCCAGTGTCGCCTGGGCTGGCCTCCGTCCTCTGGGGCCAGGTGGCAGGCAGGGAGCCGACAGGTGCGACGCTCTTTGTTGAATCTAGATCTTTCTTTCAAGTGGAAAAATGTTATGCAACCGAGCTCTGTGTGGACGGGGCAGGGCTGACCAGTGCGGCAGGCACGGGGGAGGGGGCGGGGCAAGGGAGGCGGGGGAGGTCACTGCGGTCTGGCCGCCACCTTCTGGAGGAAGCAGAGCTGCCTGGTGGCGAATACTCGGATGCCGGGCTCCGGGTCTTTTTTGAGATCTTCAAAAGCTTGAGGGGGAGGAGAGACAAGCCCGGGGTGACCGGGGTCCTGTCTGCCCACTGGGGTCCCCGGGGGGGCAGCAGGGGTGGGGACGGCAGCAGGAGGTCACCCAGGTCCCCCCTCCCGCCTCCCAGGCCGGGGTGCTGGCCCTACTTTAGGGAAGGCACTGGCTGCCCTGCTTTATCATCAGAGCCCCGGGTGGGGGATGGGGGGGAGGGACGCGGGGGGCCGTGGGGCACTTACTGGAGAACAGCAGGTTTGTGTCGAGGCTGCTCACCATCTGGGACACGGCCTGGGGGTGGTAGCAGATGGTGTAACCTGCGCGGCAGACGGGGGAGCTGGTGGGTGGAAGGGGCTGCGGGGGGGCGGCTCAGCCCCTGCCCTGCCCGGCCCGGGCCCCTCGCCCGCCGCCCGCCGCTCCTCCCTTGCAGGTGCCAGCGGGCGGCCCGGGGCAGGCGAGGGCCGGGGCGCTGGGGCAGGGCCGGGCGCCCCGCTCACCTATGAAGAGCGCTGCCCAGGTCTTGATGTGTCGGTGGCGGCTGTGCAGGTAGCTGAGGGCCTGCGCCAGGTGGATGCCGAACTCCTCCTGGCTGTGGGTCATCTGGCCGGGGGACAGCATGGTCCAGTGCTTGCTGGACGGCGGACCTGGCCCCTCCCCTGCCAGCCCCGGGGGGGTGCGTGCAGGGTGGGGGCACACGGGAGTGCCCGGCCCTGCCCCCCAGGCCCCGGCGGCGGGTCCCTCATGCCCCAGGCCCCTTACCAGGCAGGTCCAGAGGAAGTGGCGGGCACTGAGGCCCCTCTCCCACGCCAGCGTGCAGAAGAGCGTGTGCCGGAGCCGCCAGTGGAGCAGCACCGCGCAGCGGTACAGGGTGAACTTGGCCTGCTGCGGGGACAGCGTGGGAGGGGTCACCTGCCACCCCGGCTCTCTGGGCCAGACGCCTGTCCCCTCCCCAGACCACAAGCTTCGAGTGGGCTCTGAGGCCCGACGCTGGGCTCCCCAGCTGTACCCTCAGCCCATGGTCGGCCCGGGAAGCCCCAGCCTGGCCCTAAGGGAATCCTCCCGTTCCAGTCACTTGTTGCCTGTCTTCCCGGCGGCCAGGGTCCTGCGGGCCTCAGCGCGGGGCACGGCGGGTGCCCAGGAAAGCCTGATCCTTTCACTAAGTTTGGCAAAGGACCCGAAGCCCTGCCACATGTCACACGCTGGGGACGCAGCTGCGAGCGGAGCAGGCCAGGTCCTGCCCACATGGACGGCACAACCGCAGGTGTGCACACACGTGTGCCTGCATGTGTGCATGTGCCCAGGGTGGACCTCGGTCAGGGAGGCAGCTGTGTTCTTGGGGGGCTCTACTGCCACCTGTGGAGCCTCGGCCCCCACCCTGGCTACCCATCGGTCCCCAGCCCTACCGAGGGGAGAGCCCGTCAGCAGACACTGACCGTGACGACACCCGGACAGTGGTCCTTCAGGTGCAGGAGGAGGGGCACCATGCTCTGGTGGACCTGGGTCCGCAGGCTGCTTAGCTCCTTGCCCGCCATCGCGGCCACCAGGTCCCCGAACAATGCTATGGCCGCCGCCCGGATGCCGTCCCGTTCCTGCAAGTGGGGGCTCAGACTCACAGCTGGACCTGCCTGGGGCCCCCATCTCCACCCAACTTGGACCCCCCACCCACCTGTGGAGGGGAGGGTCTCTGTGCCCACAGCAGAACCCCTTGACCAGGCTCTGGCACCGCCCCCCCGCCCCCCCCCCGCAGGGCTGTGCCTCCCCCTCCAGGGACCTGAGCTCATCTTTGCTCCCTCACAATCTCATCCTGACCACACACGAATGTGGCTGGGGAGCGGGGGGGGGGCAATCCCTCTAGGTCCCCAGGGAAGGGAAACAGTTGCTGTGAGCTCGGAGCAGGACAGCGGGGCTGCAGGGGTGAAGGATGCTGTGGTCCAGCCCCGTGGAGAAGGGGCGGAGCGCCACCTGGCGGCCACTCGGCCCGGCTTGGCCCAGAGGCGCCCTGTGCACACCCAGGTGTCCCCCCCGCCCACCCCCGGGGGCCTCGTCTCCCCAGCCCGGGTGGAGGGCAGCCAGGTCCCCCTGCCTCTGAGGACCAGGGGTCAGCACAGGAGGAGCACAAGTAGGGAGACCCCGCCTCTGCCCGGGTGCACTCACGTCGTCGAAAAAGGAGCGGGCATTGATGGCGACCCCCAGGCTTTGGGCGGCGGCGCTGTGTGCGCCTAAGCGGTGCAGCACGTCCGACACGGTGCCCATGACCTGCACGACCACCTGCTCGTTGTTCTGGAAGAAGCCGTCGAGGAAGGGCGGCAGCTGTCTGCGGAGCAGGCTTTCCTGGGGGCGGCGGAGGGGACGGGGGGGCTGAGGCCGCGGGGACTGGCTGTGCCCACGTCCTGCCCCAGCCCTGCCCCCTGGACCTAGCTGCACCTAGCACGAGCGCAGACCCTCCCTCCACGGCCCCTCCCAGCCCCCCTCCTGGCCCCGGGCACCCGCACCGTCCCCCGCGTGCCCGCCCGGCCCTGTCCGCCCGGCCTCGCGGGGATCCCACCCTGGCCCTGCGCACGCGGACGCCGTGCTCCTCCCTGGTCTGCGCACTGCGAGCTGTGTGGTCGCGGACACGGCTTCCCGTCCTGGTTTCAGGGATGTTACCCCCATGCTAGGCGGCCCCCACCTTCTCCCGTCCCCATGCTGGCCGGAGGGCCCCTCGCCCAGTCGTGGAGACCACCCTCCCTTTCTCTGCCGCACCCTGCCTGCGCCCCCGTTCCCGGGGAGGGGGCCTCCCAGTGGGTCAGCTGGGGCCTGGGGGCGGGACGAGATGAGGTCAGCCAGGTGTGCACACCTGGGGTCACGGGCTCCTCCCACTGCGAGGTCGGTGGGTGCACTAGAGGCGGCTTGGCACCTCCTGCACCACAGTGACCACTTCCCACTTTTGCACGACTGTCAAGACAACTGAGTCCATTTTCGGCCGATGCCCTCGCCCCTGCCGTTCACCCGGCGCTCCTGGAGCGTCCGGATGAATGGACACAACACGGCGGCCAATGGACGTTTCCCGCCATCGGGCCCCTTGTCAGTGATGGTGGAAGGCCAGGGCGATTTTTACAATGTTAAGACAAGTTTTAGGCCACCTTGGTGGCTTCCTGAGCTGTCTGGTTTTACGGTATTAAATTTTCAGCCAATGGGTCATTTGACAGCAAGGCTTTCTGAGCACCTACTGGGCGCAGCGCGGGGGCTGGGATGGAACGAGCAGAATGGGGTTCTCGTGGGGGGGACCAGAAAACAAAGCACATGCCACCCAATGTGTGCCAGAGGTGGGGGGGGCAAGCCGTGGGAGAGAAGATGGAGCAGGGCGGGGCGTGGAGCAGGCTTACTTTAAGTAGGGTCAGAAAAGGTGTCACCAAGAAGGTGACAATGGAGGAAATGCTTACGGCGGTGCTGGAAAAGCATTCCAGCAGAGGGACCAGCATGTGCAAAGGCCCTGAGGCAGGAGCGTGCCCGTCTCTTGGTGAGAGGAGGACAGATGGATTCAGATCGTCACAGGAGCCTGCTGGCTGCTGGGGGAGCCTCTGGGGCAGGAGAAGGGACGGCCGTTGGGACCAGGCAGGGGGTGCAGTGTCTGGGGATGGTTCTGGTGGCTTCAGGGAGGGCAGCAGGGCAATGGCAGAACAGGTGGATTCTGGGTTTGCTTGGGGCTTTTTCCCACTGCCTGGATGGCCCCTAGGTCTGGGGTCCCCATCAGCGGAGATGAGGGTCACAGGAGGCACCCATCTGGGGGTGGGGGGAGTTGTGTGTTGTGCACACGCCGCGTTTGAGATGCGGGCGAGGGTCCGAGCCGAGTCACGGGTGGGGGGCGGGATTCGGGTCTGGGGACAATCGGCCAGGAGGCATACGGGAAGACTGCAGAAGGGCAGCAGGGGCGCGGCAAGGAGGGGGGTGGGGGCAGGGCCCAGGGGTACGCCAGGGACGGGAGGCTGAGGGGATGTGGAGGCAGCGTGGGGGGGAACCAAACGAGCGAGGCGTCCCGGGCCCAGGGGATGGAGGTCACGCAGCCCTGCGTGCGGATGGGCTGGCTGAGGGGCCCCGTGGTGACCTCACGGGGTGGCGGGGGGGCGGCGGGCTGCTGCCTGCCGGGCTGCCCACCTCCACGGCTACCCCTGTGCTGCTTTCAGGGGCCGGTCTCCTGCGGTGTGATGGCGATGGCGTCTTCACGCGGTGTCCGACGGGCACCAAAGGCGTCTCGCCAGGAGGGCGCCTGCTGTGGGGGCCGCGTAGGTGCCCCGATGGGGATCCCCCACCTCGCCTCCCCACGTGGGCCGTCGGGCCAGAGTGGAAGTGAGCGAAGCCCTTGTAGGTGGTGCCCCCAGGGGTAGGGTGTGCCTGCTGGCTGGAGTGGCCTCGGTGGTGGTGAGGGCAGCCCCCGGGCGCAGGGGCACAGCGGGGCGGGGCTGCGGGGCCATCAGGAGGAGCCTGCGTCCCCAAGACTGCAGACCAGGACGGCCGCACAGCTGGGGGGCTAGAGCCCCAGTCAGCTTGGCTCTTCTGCGTGGGCTTCGCGTCGGGCCTCCTCGCACGCGGGCCACTACGCAGCTGGTGGGCTCTGTTTGACAGCAGAGGGGTGGCCGAGAAGGCGCGCACCGGCGGGTGGGAACAGGCTCTGGCGTGGGGTCCCTGACTGCTGACCCCCCCTCAGCCCTGGGCCTGCCCCATCCCTGCCCAGGTCGGCTGGTCCTGGCCCCACCCCATCAGGCCTCCTTGGCTGGCAGTGCTCTGGATCCGCACGTCCCCCAGCCCCGCTGTGGCTACCAGCCCACCCCCACTGGGGAGCCATGACCCTTTCCTGGTCCTGGCCGTCCAGGTGGCGGCCCTCCTGTCTGTCTTCTCCATTCCCCACAGGGCCCCAGCCAGTGTGGCGCAGAGACACATGGAAGGTTCCTACTGATTGCCTGCAGGAACAGCTGGAGGAAGGTGTACGGATGATTCACCAACTGACCGACTAGTCCACTGAGTGAATGTCAGAGAGAATGTGAATAACTGAGTGAGTGTATAATATATAAAGAATGAGCAGAAAATAATGAAAGAATAAATCATAAATGAAGGGCCCAAGGAACAAATGAGTGGGTGGATGGATGGGTGGATGGACAGATGGATGGGCAGATAGGTGGATAGATGGATGGATGGGTGGGTATACAGCTGGATGGACGAGTGGAAGGGTGGAGAGGTAGATGAGATGGACAAACGGATGGGTGGATGGATGGGTGGGTAGGTGGATGGGTGGGTGGATGAGTGGAGGGATGGATGGATAGGTAGATGGATGGATGCAGGGTGGATGGGTGGATGGATGGATGAGTGGGGAGGTGGCTGTCTGGCTGGGTGGCCGGCTGGCATGGGTAGATGGGTGGGTGGATGGGTGGGTGGGCAGATGGGTGGGTGGATGAGTGGATGGACAGACCAATGAAGAAGTGCTGTTGGCCCTTACTCAGTACCTACAACCTGTCATGTGCAGGGCGCAGGGCTTTGCCAGCAGTGACCTTGAGGGAGATCTCCTCTTAACCACGTGGGGACGTGCGCGGTGAGCAGAATGGGACCCAGGTGGACTGACAGGCGAGGCTGCGGAATGTCTTCAGAACCTGGCCCTCCTGTGGCCCCCCTGCCGTCAGACGCTTTCTCCCACAAGCCCTGAGAATCCTTATGTTCAGGAGTGGAGGTGGGGTCGGGGCCTCTTGTCTTCTTGGGTGTTCAAGCAGCCTCTGGGACAGGTGGAGGAGGCGGGGGGCCGAGGGCTCCCAATGGAGGGGGGCGGCCCGCGGGATCCCGATGGAGGAGGCAGGGTGGGGGGGTGAGGAACTCCCAATGGAGGAAGGGGGGTGGGGGGTCGATGGCTCCCGATGTGGTGGGGGGGCGACGGCTCCCGATGGAGGAGGCGGAGGGCCGAGGGCTCCCAATGTGGGGTGGGGGTCGCCAAGGGCTCCCCGTGCAGAGGGTGAGGGCCGCGCGCTCCGGATCAGGTGAGAAAGTATCTTTCTCTAACCTGACGTTTCTATCGCACGGTGGATGGCAGCCACTGGCCCGGCCGGTCCACGAGCCACGGAGGAAAGACCGCAGCCCGCGACAGCGGACGGCTGGAGGTGCCCCCTGTGCCGCACTCGCATGGTCTCCGCCCCGCACGTGTAACCCCTCCCACGGTACAGAGACGGGCACTGAGTTAGGCCCAAGGCTGAAGAAACTTGCTAGTGCGGGGTGAGGCCGGGAGGGACCCGGGTGCTCCACCACTGGGGGTGCCCTCGGATCCCACAGCGGGGCGACGGCAGGCATGCCAGGGCTGAGCTGGGGGCCCCAGTGGGGTGCCCAGGTGCCCAGGGCAGTGTCGCGGGCCTTTTCTCCTGCCTGTTTGCTGATGCCCCCAGCTGTTCACCATGGGAGGGGGCTGCTACAGTGAGGTGGGGCGGGAAGGGGATGGGAGGACCCTCCCCCGAGATTCTCAGGGCAAGTTCCCCTCTGGCAGCTGTGGGTGCCGTCTGGTGGCCCCCTGGAGGCCGGCAATAGCGCTCAGTGTCTCCTGGGTGCGGAGGAGACGACATCGGGGGGATAGACACTCAGCCCCTCCCATGACCCTGCCGAGGGGCCATCACCAAGCCCATTCTACCAATGAGGACACTGAGGCCCAGGGAGGGGGTCATGTGTCCCCAGCTATGCTGCCGGAAGCGGCGGAGCCAGGGCTCCAACCAGGAGACCCCTCCGGACCCCCCGCACCCAGCTGCTCTGGAGGGCGTATGCCAGTGGCGATGTCCCTCGGGCCCTTACCTTCTCTGGGTGGAAGAGGATGTTTCCCAGGCCCTGCAGGCTCAACACGCGGACCTCGGGGCTGGGGTCCCTGAGGCTTCGGGCCAGTACAATCAGGGCAGCCTGCCTGGGGAGCACCTCCAGCAGGGTGGGACTGTAGAGGAACTGGGGCAGCCCCCGAGGGCAGGCGGGTCAGGCCTGGCACCTTCCTGTAGGGGCCTCCATGTGCGTCCGGGAGCAGGGCTCCAGGGCCAGGTCTGGCAGGGGCTTGGGGGGGGCGGGCAGGTGATCAGCACCCTCTGGGTGTCTAGGTTAGTGAGTATTTGAAACCCCCTCCAAGCTGGGTCAACTCTTCCATGTATAGCTGGGGAAACTGAGGCCAGAGGGGGAAAGGGCCTGGCCCGATGTCACATAGCGAGGCTAGGGTCAGGGGACAGCACTAGCCTGGCTGAGGGGGCACCTGGGGACAGAGCCCCGTGGACAGTGGCTCAGATGTTCCTGCTGCTGGGGGTGGGGAGTGGCACGGGGCTCGATGTCTGTCATGGAGATGCCACACGGCCCCCACGCCTCGCCCTGAGCCCCGACATGGCCCCGCACCTCTCTGGGTCTAACCGGTGCCCCCTTGGCCTCCCGGTCCCAGGGATGACCTGAGCCCAGTTCTGCCGACTGACCAGCCCTGTAGGGGTCGGGCTGGGAGGTGAGGGGAGAGACAGGTTCACCCCGGGCACAGGCCGACCGGGGCCTGAGAAGTGGGGGGCCCCAGGAGCCCCAGACCGTGCACCGCCCTGGAGCCAGATGCGGGAAGGAGGGGGTGTGAGGTGGGCCTCGGTCCAGGCAAGGTCCTGGTGGGGGCACTGAGGCAGCTGGAGGAGGTGGCGGCTGTGTCGCAGGCCCCCCGCCCGGGCCCCTACCTCAGTGAGGATGAGGATGGCCACCTTCCGCTCCCGTGCCTCCTTGCTCTGCAGATTGGGCAGCAGCTGGCTGGTCACGGCCTTGATCTGCTTGCAGTGGTTTTGCACCATGGCCCTGGGGCGAGGGGGAGGCCCAGCCGGGGCTGAGGGGCCAGAGGTGGGCGGGCACCCCTTCTTTGTCCCTCTGCCCCCCTGGCCGCCCTTGGGGCTCGGACCTGGGCTGGTGCATGGGAAGCAGAGCAGCAGGCCCCTGGGCAGCCCGGGCCGGGTGGACCCTGTAGGCTCCTGGTGGGCGAGCGTGTGACGGGCACAGGGGGCACCGCCCTCCATACCTCACATGTGGAGGTCCCTGGGCTGTGCACCCAGGCGGGCCCTGGGGGGCACTGGGGTCAGTACGCCCAGCTTCCTGGACAGGTGGTGGCCTGGGTCAGGCCCCGGCCCCATGCCTACCTGGTGAGGAGACTCACGCCCTGTGGGTAGGTGTCGAGGGTGGAGAAGAGCTTCCAGGCGCCCTGCAGCTCCAGGTGAGCGAAGTCCTGCCAGTGGCCCGTGGTGGACAGCAGGCTTTTCAGTGCTTCCAGGGACGTGCTGCAGTGGGATGGGGGGGTCACTGGCCAGCCCTGCCCTGGGGAGGGTGCCTGCTGCCCTGGGATTGGGGGGTCACTGGCCAGCCCTGCCCCGGGGAGGGTGCCCCCTGCCCTGGGATTGGGGGGTCACTGGCCAGCCCTGCCCCGGGGAGGGTGCCCCCTGCCCTGGAATCAGGGGGTCACTGGCCAGCCCTGCCCTGGGGAGGGTGCCCGCTGCCCTGGGATTGGGGGGTCACTGGCCAGCCCTGCTACGGGGAGGGTGCCCACTGCCCCGGGTGGAAGGGTACATTCTGGCTCTAGCCTTGGCTCAGGGCCCCCGCAGCCCCGAGGCCTCCCTGGGGGTGAGGCCTGGCATGGGTGGGAGCTGTGCTGGGTGAGAGGACGGAGTCCATTCAGACCCCAGGCCTAGGCTCTAGGGTCGGTTGCTGGGGCAGGAGCCCAGGGGCCTGCCCCTTTAGAGTGGAGGGCAGCTGTGGCAGCTGTGTGCATGGGAGTGTGAGAAGGGCTTGGAGCCCCTCAGGGGACACCCGGACGCGTCCGTGGCTGGCTTTCCAAGGCTGCAGCTCCGGGGCTGGGGCTGGGGCCAGAGGGAGCTTCGGAGGTCAGTGGGCACCCACGGCATGGGGTACGGAGGGTCCAGGCTGAGCCCTGGGGGGTGGTGCCGTTAGACGTGGGGAGCGAGGAGGAGAGCTGGGGAGCACGGAGCCAAGAAGCCCGGAGCAGTGTCCAGTTGCCCCTCCGGACACTCCTCTGCCTTCAGGGGACACAGGTTCCACAGGGCACATGCGCGTGAGCAAGAAAGGACGCCAGACATGGAGCCCGGCGCTATCGCATGCTTGGCAGCTGCCAGGTGGGGCACGGGCCCGGTCCCCGTCCCAGCCTGGCTTCCAACGGCCCCAGGGCTGCCCTCCGCACTGCAGGCTGGCCTCGGGGAGCGGGCCCAGGAAGAGCAGGGCGGCCCCGCGCGGTGGCCTGTGTCCCCACCCCAGCCACCCTGTGCCCCATCCCTTGAGGTCCGGCCCCGCGTCACCCGTCGAATCGCCCTGGGTGTGTGAGCAAAGCCCCCAGCGTGAGGCGTCAGCCAAGCATGGTTCTGAGCCAAACGCAGTGTCAAGGGATGGAGTCCCACTTGGCCGGAGGCCCCGGTGGCATCAGCGCAAATGCCAGCTGGCTTGTCGTGTCACCCCCAGATGTGCCACTGAAGAGCAACGATCTCGGCCAGAGTGACAACAGCTTCAAGAGAAGGGGACCTCCCTTCAGGAGAAGGGGCAGAGTAGCGCTTCGTCCCTTCTGGTGCGACTCTGGGAAGGTTCGGGTCCCCCGGGGTTCAGCGTGCCTGGGATCGGGGCTCTGGGGAGACGGTGTTTGGCCGACGTGGGCGTTCCCGGGGGATCAGCGGCCCCTGCAGGGCCCTGAAATCTGGAACCACCTGCAGCCCGGGACGCCCGGCCGTGCACAGGCACACGTGTGGCCTGACACCACGCAGCCCCAGACCCCCCGGACGCGGAGGCCCTTGAGTGTGAGCCCGGCCATGCAGGTTCCGAGGCCGTGACCCCTCAGCCTCACCTCAGCACCGCCCGTCTCCCCCTGCACGTCCCTCTGCTGCCTTTTTTTTTTTTTTTTAAGATTTTGCCCACTTATTCACGGGAGACAGAGACACAGGCAGAGGGAGAAGTGGGCTTCCTCGATCCCAGGACCCCAGGGTCACGCCCCAGGCCCAAGGCAGAGGCTCAGCCACTGAGCCCCCGCGGGCCCCTGCTAACGGACTGTGGCAGCACGCACGCGGCGTCACGTTCCCCATCCTACCCATTCCAGCGTGTACAGTTTGGCAGAACCAAGTGCATCTCACATCCGGCCCTGGAAGACTGTCCCCGGTCAACACCACGCCCCTCCCCCGGCCCCTGGCGCCACCATCGGGCTCCGTCCGCGTGCTCGTGGCGGCCCAGAGTCCTCCGAGGAGCAGAGCCTCGTGCCGCGTGGGCTCCCGGGTCGGGCCGTTCTCGTGGGGCATGCGCACGTGAGGACACGGCTCAGCCCTGTCGTGCCAGGGACGGGAGGGCCTCCCGAGTCGCAGCATCATGTGGATGGCCCACGTTTTCCCGATCCCCGCAGCCGTGGACAGACACTGGGGTGGCTTCTGCGTCCTGGCTCCCGGGAAGGGTGCTGCTGTGCACAAGGCGTGCACACCTGTCCTGAGGCTCCTGCCCGGAGGGGGCTGCTGCATCCCACGGTGATCCTGTGTTTGACGTGTTGAGGAGCTGTCGCTGCACCATCCTTCACCCCCGCAGCGGGGGCTGTGTTGGGAGGTGGCCGTCCTCCCACGTGCGAGGGTCTCTCGTGTCGCCAGTGTCTGCCGCCTTGGCTGCAGGTGTGGGTGAGTGGAGGTGAGCGGGGAGGGTGCAGGTGCCGGGAGCCCGCCGTGGGCTCCGAGCTGGGCGTCTTGGGCAGCATTCGTCTGACCCTCCGATGCCTCGGCCGCCGTCCACTGCCGTCCCCAGTAACACCAGGAGGAAACGAGGCCCCGGCTTCTCTTTTCGGCTAAGAGTCCAAATGCCCTTTCGGGAGTCTCCGGGTCACATGGGAGCCGCAGGAGGGCCACCCTGGGTCTCCCCCACCGGGACACTGTCCACTCTGGCCACCCATCCCCAGTGCCCATCAGACCCTGCCACTTGCTCTGCACAGAGCCCTCCGTGGCTCCCCAGTGTCCCGGTGTGCAGCTGACTTCGAGGCCTCCTTCCTCTCCCCTCCGTCCTGTCCCCTCCTCCAGGCAGGGAGCTCAGCCATCACTCAGGTCTCGGTTCCGAGCTGTGTCCTCGGGGACCGCATGACAGGTGGCACGCTCTGGGTCATCCTCTGTGGAGGCGGTGACTCTCTTCCCTTGGGGTCCTCTCCGCGGTGTCACTTGTCCATCTGTCCATCTGTCACTGGGCTGCCATTGACCCCATCTGCCTTTCTCCGGGGCTCTGAGCTCCCAGGCAGAGGGACCCATCTCCGGTGACCAGTGTGGTCTGGGACCTGGCGAGCGCCTGTGGAAGTGTAAGTGCCAACAGTGGAGCACACGGTGGCTCCTAGCAAATGATGATGAAGATGACCGTCCGCCAGTCCTCCTCCTTCTCTTCCTCCACGAGCTGGAGGGAACACGGAGCAGGGCCAGGTGAGCCAGGAGAAGACGCTAGGTCAGGGCGGGGCTGCGGGGGTCCCCAGAGTGGAAAGAGTGGATGGGCTGGGATAGTGCCACGTGGGCCCCTCCCTGCGGGTCCCGGGGACCCTGAGACCACGACGTGCCAACGGGGCAGATGGACAATTGGGGCTGGGGTCATGCAGTCGAACCCTTCACCTTAACCAAGGCCCAGGGGAGCGTCGGCCCCTTGTCCAGGACAGAGGCTGCCCAGTCCACCGCCCCTCCCAGCCGTGTGGGCAGGGACCAGCCCATCACACGGAGTGCTCATGGGGGAGGCTAGGACGAGGGCTTAGATCACATACCCAGGCCCGGATAGCATAGCATTACTGATGGCTTCTTAGTTCCTCCTCAACTGCCAAAATCCAGGACTGTGAACCATGTTTTAAATTTAAATTAAAAAAATTTAATTTAATAAATTTAAAAGATTAAAAATTTTAATTTAATTTAATAAATTTAAATTAAAAAAACTTTAAACTTAAAGCTTTACGTTAATTTTCATTTATTTATTTTTAAAGCTTTAAGTTTAAAAGACAAGTAATGTCTCCTTCTTTATTCAGGAGGAGATGAGAAGCAAAAAGGAAGCACCAGGCTCTGCTGGAAACTGACTTTCGAGGTGAGCTTCCCGGCAGCCAGGGCCAAAAGGACAACGTGTTGGTCGTACTTGTAAGTGGTCCAAGAGAATGTCTTTGAAATAAGGAGCAATCAGATGCCCCGTGAGAATGGAACGGAGTCAACGCACGATGGAGACATGAAAGGAGCGCCCCCCGCCGTGTGGGGCGGGGTGGACGTTGGCTGGAGGAGGACCCAGCTGAGAACTGACCGAAGCAGTTACAGTGTCTAAAGAAAGGGGCTTTGGTCGTCAGAGATGCAAAGGAAATGAAGGGTTGGCAGTGCTTTTGCAGTCCCGCCGGGGGGAGGCTGCCGTGCCCACACCCCCACTTGCTGGTCCCAGAGGCCAGCCCAGCTCTGCAGGGTGCCAGGGACCTCAGCGCCCTAGGAGTAGCCTGAGCCTGTCCCGAGGCCCACTGGGCTGCCACCCGGCGCCCTGCACCACCCCACGCGGCGGGGCACCTGCAAGCCAGGCGTCCTCTCAGCAGTGGGCGCCCAGATCCCCTCCTTGGCCGCGTCTCCCTTGATGGTATCCCAGCTGCCCGGCATCAGAGCCTGGACGGCAGCGACCCACCTGGGTGACAAGGCCCTCTGAGGCCCTGGGAGCGGCTGCTCACCCCCCGCCACCCCCGGCTGTCTGCGGGCATCGCTGCTGGTCGGCCTGTCCTTCCTGTGGGCCCCTTTGGGTTCCTCTCCAGGCAAGGTGGGGGCCAGGAGCTCCACACGCCCCTGTGGCCCAGGCGATCGGCTCAGGGGTGAGCATGTGATCTCAGACAGGCCAGTCAGAGCCAGTGGACTACCCCTGGGACCACCCTGTCCTCCCTGGAGGGAACTCACGGGAGAGAGGCCAGGCAGCCGAGCTGGGGGCGGGAGGGGCAGCTGCTGCTTAAGCGGCCCCAGCCAGCCTGCCTGAGGGGGCTGCCCAGGAGTCCTGGGGGGCCAGGTGGACAGCCTCGCTTCTGGGGGAGCCCCAGGGGGCCGGGGGTCACCCCCACTCTCTGGGGGAGCTCCAGGGGGAGGGGAGGACACTCCTGCTCTCTGGGGCAGCCCTTTCTGCAGGGTGCTGATAACAGTTGCTAGGTGGTGCTGGCCTTTGGAGGGGAACAGCAGAATGGGAGCAGGACCCCTATTTTAGAGAAGGTGTTTGGAGAGACTTGCAGTAGGTGAGGAAACCGGGGAAGAGCAATCCAGGAAGAGGGAGCAGGAAGTACAAAGGCCCTGAGGCAGGAGCAGACAGTGTGGGTGAGGGGTGTGTGGCAGGAAATGAGGTCCTGGGGGCAATGGGGAGCCAGAGGGAGAGGGGTCTCTGGGCCACTGAAAGGATCTGGCTCTTTCTCAATTAAGTGGGGAGGGGCAGGGGGGCTTGAGGCTGTGGACACGTTTTGAAGAGGGGAGCTGGGCTGCAGGGGGAGGGTGGGTGAGCAGGGTGGGGTGAGGGGGGCAGGGCAGGAGAGCAGGGGGGAGGGGGGCAGGGGCAGGAGAGCAGGGGGCTGGCCTGAGCAGGCAGGGGGCAGGGCAGGAGAGTCGGGCTGGCTGGGCCGGTGGAGCCGCCTCCCTGCTCCCTCCTGGCCGTCGCCGTCCCACGTACGTTCTGGGAGGAGAACGTTTTATTAGCTTATTAGGGAAGATTCATGCATTTTGCATGGTTGATCTGAATAAAAAAGGAACTGTAGCGCACATTCGAATTCAGAAGCAATATGAGAAGAGGGGACATTTTTTCCAGGGACATGCTCGGGGAGAGCTGTTCAAAGTGACAAATTGCGCAAAGCACATCATAATACAAACAAGTGAACAGTCACCCCGCGGCTTTCAAAGAGCAGCTTGTTGGCTTTCCCAGGACGTGCCCGGTGAGGGAGGGCCAGGCAGGCCGCCTCGGGGCGGAGGGCAGGGGTGCGGGGTGCGAGCGTACCGGGTCGGGGCAGTGGCCAGGGGCCCGGGGGCCTCCGCGGGGCCGTTCCCGGCTCGAGCCCAGCCGCGGGCATGCTGCGTCTCCCGGGGAACCCTCTGACCCTGAGCCTCGGTGTCCTTAGGCGTACGGTGGGCAAGACAACGTCCCTCTCACAGAATTCCTGTGAGGACCACAGTTGGGAGGACGCAGTGCTGGTGTGGGCGGGTGGCAGTACTGTCCTGTGGGGTCCCCACATGCCAGCAGGCTCTGGGTATCTGTGCTGCCAAGTGGCTGGGGTAGTCCAGAAACGGCCCTGTGCCTGCCCTGTCCCCTCCGTGCTGCCTGCTGCACTGGCCATGGTGGTGTTCGGGGCTGAACCGCATCCCCCGAAAGTTATACCCGAATCCTAACGCCCGACATATGGACGTGACCTTATTTGGAAATGGTCTTTGCGGCTGGACTGGAGTTAGGATGAGGCCAGTAGGGGGGCCCTAGTCCAGCACGACCCGAGTCCTTGGAGGAAAGGGAAACTGGGACAGAGACACGCAGGGGAGCTCATCAGGGGAGGAGGGGGGCGAGGGGGGGAGCTCGTCTGCAGGCCAGGGAGCACAGAGACCATAGGGTGTGCCAGGAGGGGAGGAGGCCGGGGGTCCCTCCTGCGTAGGCTCCAGAGGGAGCAAGGCCCGCCTCCCTGAGCCACCTGCCCCTGCCGCGGAGCATCCTCGGCCTTACCTGTGTGGGCTGGGCATGGCCTCTGGGGCCTCGTGGCCAGGCTGTGGCTCCGGGGGTGAGCGTGGCTCCTGGGGTGGGTGCGGCTCCTGGGGCAGGTGCGGCTCCTGGGGCAGGTGCAGCTCCCGGGGCAGGTGTGGCTCCTGGGGCAGGTACGGTTCCTGGGGCAGGTGCGGCTCCCGGGGCAGGTGCAGCTCCAGGGTGTAGTGCAGCTGGGTGAGCAGGGCCAGGAGGAGCTGCGGGAAGGCCTCCTGCACGGCCTTCTTGAACTCCCGCGCAAACTGCAGCTCATGCAGCATGTTCATGGCCTGTGGGGGGCAGGGGCACGGCTGACCTGTCTGTCCCTCCCGCCCCAGCCTCCAGGACCGCGGCCCTATCTCTGGGTGTCCCTCCGGCCCCCTCCCTGTGCCCTCTGACCTGGCACGTCCTGGACGCCTCCACCACGGCCCCCTCCCAGGCTGCCACCCCTGAGTCCCGCCCCTGCTCTGCGGCCCTGGAGGATTGGCCGGGTGGGCCTCTACCCCTGTTGGCACAGCTGGGGGACAAGTGGCCCCGGAAGGCAGAGCTACCGGACAGCGGCCCCGAGGCGCCCTGTGCCCCTCGGAGCATTCGGTGCAGAATGTTCTTGGGGTGTGGCGGCACACAGTGGAGGCCCCCTGCTGACCCCATGCTGCTGTATGGTTTCTGAGAGGAAGGGCCTGCATCAGCCTGGGGCTGGGGGCGTCTGGGAGGAGCGGGGGCCGGACACACAGAGGGCACTCGGCCTCTGCATCCACATTCCGCCATCACACAGCCGTGTTCAGGCTGCAGGGTGTCTGGGGGGCCTCGGATGGGGAGGGGCCGTGGGGATCTCTGGGCTGCTGCGTGGGGGGTGGCTTTTTGGGTGGGGGGTGTCTCAGCCTGGAAAAACACGGGGTCGGGCCACTGCAGCGGCCTCATCACTGTCCACCAAGGGCAGGTGTGGCCAGCTCAGGAAGTGAGCCCCCTGTTCCCGCGGCCCCGTGAGGAGGGAAGCTGGCTTGGGGGGCTCCTCCAGGAGCATGGGGCTGCAGGAGGCAGCGTCTCAGATGCCTCCCAGATCTACAACCCCAGACCCCAAATGTGGACGGAGGGCCCCACCATTGTCCCCACAGCCGTCCTCTGCCTGAACCTGCCTTCCAAAGGCCCTGTGCTCCGAGGCCACCCACGGGGAGTTGCACCTCCTGGGTGCGTGCAGGACAGGGTGGCTTCCACAGTCCGGGCCCGGGGCCGCCCCTCCCTGAGGACAGCGGTGGCCAGAAGGGCCATGCACACGTGAAGCCAGCCCCCACTCGGTGTTAGCGGGGGCGGCGTCGGGGGTCGTGGCAGAGACTCACAGCGAGCGAGCGCGGGCAGGGCTTGTCCTTGGGCTGGGGGCCGCCATCTCGGGGCCCGGGGGGCAGGGGCCGCTCCTGCAGCCAGGTCAGCAGCACGGCCAGTACCTGGCGACTCACGGGCTGCTCGGCCCCCAGGGCCCTCCACAAGCGGAAGGCGTGGCTGTGGGCAAAGAGGAGTCGTGAGGGGGCCGCAGGGGCCTGGGGAGGGGGATGGGTCCTGCGTGGGACCCTGGCCGCGGGGGGCCTGTGGGTGAGGGTGGGCGGCGGGGACCCGGGGGACACCAGTAGACGGCGGGCCAGCCTCCCTGCTCCGTGCTCCGGGGGCCCCTGCTTCCAGGGTCCGTCCTGCAGGCTCCCTGCACCCCAGCGACAGACCCTGACTCCATCACCCAGTGACTCCAAGGTTCTTACGGGACAAGTCCAGCTGAGCCCTGCCCTCTGCCCTCTGCCCTCCCGTTCTGCCTTGGGCCTCCACGGGGCTGTCGCCCCTGTGCTTAGAGCACCCCTCCACACCTGGCCTGTGCCCGCTCTGCACACCTGCCTGGAGGCCCGCCCTGGCTGCCTTCTCCTAGCCTGGGTTTGCTGGGGTCCAGCTCCCTGGTCCACCCGGGTCGGGGGTGGGGTGGCGTCCACCTGTATGTGCAGACAGTCTCCTCGTGCTCCTTTTGCAGGTGGGGAAACTGAGGAATGATCGGGCCCTCCCCTGACCGGGCTGGAGGCCAGGTGTGGTCTGGGTGTGTTCTGGGGCCTTCCCACCTGGTCCACGGGCATGGGCCTGGGGGTCCTGGGGGCTCCCGAGGTGTCAGTGACCCTGACGGCCCTGTTTCCTGTGCTAGGTGGTTGTCGGGCCCCAGTGCTGGGTGCAAGGGGCTGGAGGGCAGGGGTGCCCCTGGAGGGGCGGGGGGGGCCACAATGGGGACCTGGATAAGCCCCTACCCCTGCTCCAGCAAGGACCCTGGGCCGGGTGGGCACAACAGCTCCGAGGACTCTGACATCGTTGTCACAAGGACCCAGGCACCAGTCCCTGCTCTGCGGGACTGGGGGTGTCTCTGGGGTGGGGCCTGCCTCGGGAGGCTTAGGTGACCTGCTTCTGCAGGAGCAGGGGTGCCCAGCATGCACCGTCACATGCAGGCAGTGAGCTTGGGGACAGAGCAGTGACAGGACTGGTAAAGTCCTTGCCTGCGTGGGAGTGACCCCTACCGCCCCACAGCCAGCAAACAGGGTGCGTCAGACTAAGTGTATCGGGTGGAGGAGGGGTGGGGTGGGAGGGGGACAGCAGGAGGGCGCATCTGGCTGTGGTCAGGTTTTCAGGGACGGCTGGGAGGCTGCACCCGGAAGGGATGGCAGCCAAGACCCGAGGGCGTGAGGGGGAGCCACGCTGCCCTGGGGCTGGGGGGAAACTTCTGGCCCAGCACAGAGCTGATCTTGGTGTGCCTGGGGCCGGCAGGGTGGCAGCCTGGTCGGGGTGGAGAGACTGGGTCTGGGAGAGGAGGACCATGAGATGGCGGGGCCAGGTGCTGACCTTGACACCACTGGGAAGGTGTCGCCTGGACTTTGAATGGGGTCTTCCAAGGGTCGGCAGCAGAGGAGGGATGTGGTCCGACTGATTTCTAAAGCCTCCACGCCGCCGCTGGGAGGGATGGGGGCGCCGGGAAACAGCCAGGGACTCCACGTGTGCTGGCCATGTCCTGACTTGGGGGGGTGCAGGGCTGGAGGGGATGGGGTGGGGGTGGCCAGATGAGGTGCAGGGTTCCTGGAGGAGGGGCCTGGGTGTGGACAGGGGAGTCAAGGTGGCCCCTAGGGCTTTGGGCTGATGGCATCATCGTGGGGAAGCCCACCAAGAGGACAGTTTCAGGGGAAGGCCAGCGAGGGTGGGGTGTCCAGGGGGGTCCAGTGTGGGATGCCTCCTGGATGTCCAGGTGCGGTTGTCGGGCGGGGCTGAGCATTCAGGAGGCGTCTGCTTGGGGACACTTAAAGCCCCAAGGAATGGAAGCGGCCACCAGGAGGGTGGGTGTAGCTGAAGGGAGCTCTGGGGACCGAGCCCCATGGCCCTGTGCTGAGAGATGCGGAGACAGGAGGGACCAGCGAGGAGGCCGAGCTGGAGCCAGGTGGTGGGAGGAGAGCCGGGCGGGCTTGGGCTTCTGGGAGCCAAGTGAAGAAGGTGTTCCCGGGGGAGACAGTGGTTGCCACAAAAAGACAGAGGAACCCAAAACGTGTATTGCCGAGGACTAGAAGCCAGCCCGAAAGCCTACACACTGCACGGCTCCAAGTCCATGACCTTTTGGAAATGGCAAAACCACGGAGACGGTAAAAGGCTACCAGGGGTTGGGGGGACGGAAGGTTTTTCCGGCAGCGACGCTACCCTGCTGGACACGCGATAGTGGCCCAACGTCACTGCACATTGTCCAGGCCCACGGGATGAACAGCGCCAGGAGCGAGCCCTGCTGGGTGTGGGGCCTCAGTTAATGACGATGCACCAGTATGGGCCCGCCGCCCCACGCAGGGTGTGAGCAGAGGAGGAAAGCGGCCGGGACGGGGCATGCTCTGCCTAAGTCCTCTATAAATATCAAACTGCTCCAAAAGCAAAAACTTATTAATTTAAACATCAACAACAATGAAAAAGGGCTGGGAAGAACCACGTGACGCAGTCCCAAGGAAGTGAAGCTGGTGCTGCTGGATTTGTACTACGACAGATGACCTGCATCTATAAATTTGTGTTAACATCAGGAAGTCAGGAAACAAGTCTCCAAAGACTACAGGCACCACCACCACGCTCTTCAGTGAAATTGTAAAAACTACAAGAACATGTTTTTAGGAATACGTTTAGCCACGAAAAAGAAGGGAAAGGGATGACGAGCGTTGGGTGGGTGGGTGGGGGTGGGCTGGGGGCCGGGACTGGTGGTCCTCCCCGCTGTCCCTGTCCTTCGCTGGAGGTCATGACCCGGATCCTAGCCTTCGTGCAGGTGGCGGCCTCGCCAGTGTGCATTCGATCACTGGAATGAATGAGTGCCGTAAGAGCCAAACTAAGGCAGGCCACGCATGCAGTGATGATGGACAGCTTGACACGCCAAGGCTCATGCCCACGCCGCTGGCGTGCAGCTGAGTCGTCGTCAAAAGGTAAAAGAGAAACACGGGGAAAAAGGAAAGAAAACTTGGCAAGCTGAGCATAAGGTCACGTAGGAATGTGAAATGCCACACTCGGAGGGCAGCCGAGGCAGCGTTGGGGAAGGAGGAGCGGGAAAGCCCTTCTGTATCTGGTGCGGAGAAGCTGTAGGATGTCACAGGAATTGGGACCTTGAGTGTCAGCACGGGGACAGGCCAGCGACAGACCGCGGCCTGCGGGTGCTCGGCTGGGAGGGAGGGAGCATCCGGGCTGCAGGCCTGTCACTGAGCGATGCTGGCGGTTCCACAGAACTGCAGCTCGACCTCACGTCCGCAGCCACCCCCCTTATGGGTCGGCTGGAGACCTGCGTTTGAAAGGCAATCACCAGAACTTTTTTCGTGTAAGATCGTGGATGCAAGTGATTGAACCTGAAACTCCTTTATATCAAAAAGCACATCCGGGGAGCGAAAAGACAAGCTGCAGAGTGCGAGGAGATGCTTTTAACACAATCGACAGAGGCCTTGAATCCAGATCACATAAAGGATTCCCGGAAATTGATAAGAAAAAGAGGGGACAACCCAATAGGAGGACGGGTCGGATGCTCCAACAGATCACCAAAGGAGATACTCAGATGGCCAAAAAAAAAAAAAAAAAAAAAAAAAAAAAAGCAGATGAAAAGATGTTCAGCTTCGTTATTTAATTAGGAACGTGCGGATGAATGTCACTGTGCGATTCATACCACCGGGTTGCTAACGTTTTGATGAGTTGCTAGGAAGTTGGGGCTAAGGGTGCATGAAGATGTGAAGCAACAAGAACGTCCCCCCAAAATCCCTGGCAGAGTGTGAGGTGGCAGGAACATTCTGGAAAATGATTTGATATGCCTGTTGAAGTTGGGTATATGCAGGGCTTTGTGGTGCAGACGTTTGCGTCCTAGACACACATACACACGTGCGCGCACATGCGTGCTGGAGACCGAGTGCTGATGTGCATCGGGATGTGCAGGAGCAAGTGGGTGCGGTCCTTAGCCACATACCCAAGCAGGGGACAACCCAAGTGTCCGTCTGCGGCAGAAAGGGTAATCGGCATTCATGAGATACCAAACAGCAACAAAAACAAATGAACTCCGACTCTGTGTAACATCGGAATGAATCGTAAATGCGTTGTCGAGGGGAAAAGCCACCTACCGAAATTATATTGGAAGGCTACGTACTACACAATTCTGTTCACAGTGTCAGGACACGCCACATTGTTTCCGGTGCTTCTAAAAAAGAAAAATTCGTCCAGGTGGGGATCTACATCCATCACAGAGGTGGGCCCCCAAGGGCTGCATGTCCAGCGTAAGGATGATGGAAACCAACCCAACTGTCCGCAGAAGGAAACAGCCAGGAAGCCCGCCGGCCTCACTGGGAGAGTCCGAATCACAAAACCTGTTCCGGGGTCTGAATTCACACCAGCAGTGAGGCTCAAAGAAAGTCTCAGGCACAGACTTTTAAATCTGAAGTGGTTCCAGGCTGACAGCGTCCCCGGGTAACTGTGAGTCCAGGTGTTGAGCACACTTGACGACGACGTAAGATGCATTTCCATCTCATCGATGCTCAAATGTGAAAAATGTGCTTCTTAGAAGGGAGGAAATAGGGTATAAATTGCAACATGGACTGAGGTGAACCACAGCCTCCTGGGCAGCTGGAGACAACTGTAGCCTCTAGGGTCCCCACCCCTGAAAGACAACGTGCAGCAAGAGGGAGGAGAAGTAAAACTGCATGGAAACTGTGCCCAAACTCGACATTACTGAGAGCAAACAAGATAAAAGTCCCAGAGTCAAGCCCACTCACTGCCAGGACGGTGAAATCCATCCCCAGCCTGAAAAGAGAGAAGAGCATGACCACGGGGAAAGGGACTGGGCAGCCTCCAAGGTGCACAGCTCTGGGGAGAGAAATAGGGGTGCCTTTGGAGATTGGGTGATGAAAGGGACCATGCAAGAGAAGGAAAATGTAAAACTCTATGGGAGAAAAGAGAACAACAACAACAACAAAAAAACCCAAAAACAAACAAACAAAAAAAACCCAAAAAACCAAAACAACCCCCAAACAGGAGGACGTATGACCCTTTCACTTGCTGCTTAGACAAAGAATCAACTGAATTCTCTGGACTCTGCTCTCCTAACAGAAGAGGGTGCCATTGAACGTGAAATCCTATAAAACACTCCAACAGCATTTTATAGGAACAGGAACAAAATGAACAGATCCACCGAGTTATTGCAAAACAACAACAACCCAGAAAAAAAAATATAATCAGTGTACGACAAAAGAGGAACAGCTCCCGTCCAAAGCAGCCATGGCGCAGACAACGCCGTGAGGCTAATACCCCGGATGGCGCTCCTCCTGCTACAGCAGCATGAAAAACAGGCAGACCCACCTTGAATTATAACTTCCAAAAAAAAAAAAAAAAAAAAAGGAAAAAAAAAACCCAACAAACCTCAGCAAAGAAAGGAAAAGAGGGTTTGAGTGAGTTCAGGAAAGAGGCAGAAGAAAGGAAAAAATTATCTCAGAAGTGGAAAAAAATGCAAGATGCCAAGAGGGACGTTCGTTAAGGGGCGTTGGGGCAAAAGCAGAAAGACAACCGTGAAAGTTGTGAAAAGGACCAGAGGGAAAGTGTTGGAGGTTGGGGACGGGCGGGAACAGGGTGGCAGGGCCAGTGCCGCGGGGGAACAGACGTGCTGTTTAAAACTATCACCTAGAGAACTTTCCAGAAGCAACAAGAACACCAGCCCTAAATCTACATATTCTAAGGACCTGCCGGGTCCCTGGGAGGATGAACACAGAACGATCAACTCTGACACATTTCTTAATAAAACTGTTCCATTTCCAAGGTAAGCAAACACCCTCCAAGATGTCCAGGTGGAAAGACCTCTTACAAAGGCAACCAACTAGACAGAGGCAAAAACAAACAAACAAACAAACAAACATCATCATCTGTAGACTTTTCAATATAGAGCAAGGTGACAATTGAGCAGCAATTGAAAAATACTCCATAAAAGAAAGTGTGAACCAAGGATTTTATGTCCAGCCAGGCTGTCCTTCAGGCACAGGGGAGCCGCTCGGGAGCAGCGTCTGTTGGAGGCAGGTCTAGGTCCAGGGGCGAGAGGACCAGAGCCTCCAGTGGAGGATGGAGGGTGCTTGTGGGGACCCAGGAGCAACAATGTGGAGCCCTGAGCAGGTGAGCAGACGGCGGACTTCCACCTCGTGAATATGCACAGCTGAAAATGCAGGAGGAGCAGGGGACAGGTGGCGATGTGCAGGTGCAGGCCTGGTAGGGGTGCCGGAAAAGACCCGATGGATCTGGGACGCCCGGGTGGCTCAGCGGTTGAGGTCTGCCTTCAGCCCAGGGCATGATCCTGGAGACCTGGGATCGAGTCCCGCATCAGGCTCCCTGCATGGAGCCTGCTTCTCCCTCTGCCTGTGTCTCTGCCTCCTTCTCTGTGTGTCTCATGAATAAATAAATAAAATCTTTAAAAAAAAAAAAAAGCAATGGACCAGACAGTGAAAGCTCAAACAAGAACACAAGGGTTGAGGGCATCAAGGTGGATTGGGACACCTACTGCAAAAATACACCTCTTCTTTAATTAAAAAAAAAAAAAGGATCAAAGAATACACAACCTGTAGAAAAGGAAAATAAGGTAACAGACAAAGCCAGGTGCACACGGCTACGGGACATGATGCCGGAGTGGAGAGTCCACAAACTGGTCGTGTCCACGAACATGAAAGGAAGGATTTCACTAGCTTATTGAGAGAAATGGACTTGCGGTTTGGATCACAGATCAGAGCCAGGGTCTATGCCGCGTGTAAGACGGGGAGCACGTACCGGGCACGACGGGAGAAGACGGACAGCAAGGCGCTCCGGTCATCCTGAGAACAAAGTGGAACCCAAGCCCCGGCAGCATTAAATGTGACCGGGCCGGGCACTCCTTCACGCTGAAGTCACGCTTGCTAAGGGAGGTACATGTATGCAGACCCCTGTGCGGTGTAAAAACCACAGGACACGGGAGGGGCCGTGGGGAGAAACGTGCTGGTAATGGCTCTGATGTGTTCTAGGACGACACAGATCGGGGTGGACGGTCGTCCGGGGAATCTGTGATCTACACCAGACTCCCCACATGACGCAGAGAGAACTATGCCCTCTTCCCGACGGCGAGGGACGCTGAGAAGGTGGGTGGTGGACTGGAGGCTGTGCAGGGCAGAGGAGATCCAGGCATGGAGAAGTCAGGGTGAGGGAAACCCCAAGATCCAGACGGGGGGTGGTGGGGAGTGAGACGGTGTCTGACCGGGAGCGACACCTTCAAGGACCCAGGGATGATGCAATGCAGGTGCCTGATGGATGCGTAGCTGGGGGGCTAGACTGAGCACCTACCTGGGCTTCGGAACTGGGATTTTTGGGAGGAAGAGGACCCTGGCCCACCTCCAGACTTGGGGGTCTGAGGAATTCACAAGAAAGCCAGCTCCACCCCCGCCCCCTGCGCCATGAGAGTTACAGGGTGGCCACAGCGGGGGGGCGGGGGAGGAAGGGGAGGTCCTTGGAGGATCAAGAAGGATGGCGAGACTTTGGTGTTGGCTGGGGTCTTGCTTGGCGCACACCTCGGGGCCTGGCACCCTCCCCCTGAGGCTACAGGTGAGTGATTGAGGTTGCGGCGGTGGCGGGGGGGGTCTGTGGGCGACACCTGTAGGATGGGTGACACCCGCAGGATGGACGGTGAGTGGTGCCTCCCTGGAGCCTGCCTTGGGAGCTGGGCGGTAAATGAACAGGTATGTGGGCTCCCTCCCTGCCCCCAGAGCCCTGGGGGTCCCTGTGAGGGGGCAGGCAGGAGGGCAGAGCTGAGGGCGGAGGGGGGCTGGCACCTGTCCAGGGGTATGGAGAAGTCCAGGAAGGTGGCCACCAGCTCGGGGGTGTGGGTCCGGGCCAGCAGGGTGATGGCGTGCAGAGCCTTTTCCTTGGCTTGGGGGATGCGGACAGAGCAGAGCTGCAAGTGGATGGCCCGGCCCAGGTTGGCAACCTTGCGGGGAGGCGGGGTAGAAGGGAGAGGGCTGGTCTGAGGGGGAGGCCAGGCGCCGGCAGGGACGTCTGAAGGAGACACTACCCTGCCCCACTGCCTGGCCAGGAGGGCGGTCCCAGGCCGAGGGGAGCGAGGCCCCACCCCCGAGGCACTGCGTGCGAGGCGCTCCCACTCTGTCCCAATGCGGCCCAGTCGCTGGAAGGCGCAGACGCACCAGCTGCACATCTTCCGAGCACAGTGCATGCTGGTCTGGCCCCCCGGGACCACCTCTGGTCCCTCTTGCTCACCCACCCGGGTCCAGTGTTGCCTACCAGGGGGGCTTCCTCATCTGCAGGACTTGGCATGGATCATCCTGTTTCTGGGGAGGGGCCCGCACCCCACTGGGGGCACATTGTTGCCTTTGCATTACCTACGCTGTCCAGTCCTTATCTGTGTCTATCCCCTCTGTGAGACTGAGAACTTCCAGAAGGATCTGTGCCTTCTCCTCCCCCATGTCCCATACCAGAGCCTGGAACGGCTGTTCCATCCGTGCACGCATGCCCCATGGCCCTGCAAACACCACTCGGGGCCCCACCTGCTGGGGCCATTCCTTCCTTCCTTCACTGGAACCTGTCAGCCCAGGGGGCGGGGGGGAGGGTGCTGTGTCTCCTGCATCAGGGGCAAGCTGAGGCCCCCAGAGGCCCGAGCCCCAGGGTGCTGACTGCTGGGCGTCCCTCTGCCCCCGCTCGCCCCGGCCCACCCTGAGTGGTCGCCCCAGCCGCTCACGGTCTCCAGCTTGGCCCCGTGCTCCCTGATGGTGGTGAGCAGCATGTCGGCGGCTGCCTGAATGCGGAAGGGGCTGGCGGAGCCCAGGCCTTCGATGGCTGTCCAGATGAGGTCGGTCAGCTCTGCCTTCGTGAGATGCTTCATGACCTCCTGTAGCAGCAGGAGAGGAGGCAGCTGTCACCCGGGCTGAGTCACCTATGCCCAGCTGTCTGCCTCCTGCCGTCTCATTTCCCCGTCTCCTTGGCTTCAGGCTGCCCGGGTCGCTGAGCACCTCCAGACTTCTGAGCCCTGCTCCTCTAGACCCCCACACGTGTACCCCATTTGGCAGGCTGCTTGCCTGCACATGTTTCTGAGCCAACCGGGTTCAGGAAGGGAGAGCGTGATGCCCATCGTAGAGCAGATGCACGGCTCCCTTCCTCACTCAGACCCCGGAGCTTGCCTCCTTTCCACCCCTCCTCACCTCATGGACCTCCTCGTGGGCTAGCCTCCACCCACCTGGGTGCTCCCTGTGCCAGGCTCCTGTCCTCCTCACAGCATTTTAATCAAGAAGAACTAAACTTCAGAGCTGTGACGGGTCTTCAAGGTCACCTGGACCAACTCTCAGGCCCCAGAGAGGTGCCTGGGCAACCCTCACCCCGGCACAGGCTGGGTCCAGAGCCCAGGGCTCCTGTCCCACAGTAGGGCCTCCCCAAGAGCCCGACTGCTCTCTGCCCATGTTTTCCCAGGAGCAGCTCTAAGTCTAGACTGTGAGCTACTCGGGGTAATGAAGAGGGGCTTGGGGAGATGCAATGTGGTGGGTGGGACCCCTGCTCCATAGCTCGGACCACAGTCTCTGAGAGGGAGGGCTGGGCCAGCCTGGGGCTACCCAGGTGGAACCTTCCAGAAAGACTTAGAGCATTGTTGCCCAGCGTGGTAGCCACCAGCCACGTGTAGCTGTTTAAACTTAATTAAGTAAAATTTAAAAACTCCGTTCCTGTTAGCACTAGCCACATTACAAGTGTCCAGTAGCCACAGGTCGCCGGTGGCTACCTTGAATAGTGCAGATAGAGGCACTTTCTCCTCCCAGAAAGTTCTATTGGAAGGCTCTGACATGGAGCACTTGATAATCAGAGGAAGATAGAAGACTGGTAATGGGGGGCTTGGTAGAAAAGTATAAGGTCTGCAAGCATGTTAAGGATAGTAACATGCTTCTTTGCATGTTAGGATGTTTGTTAAAACGTTTGAAAGTCTGTTAGGATGTTTGTGTTTATATTAGATAAAAAGATAAGTATTAAATAACATGTTAGAATAGTTATTAGAATAATTACTCTAAAATTTTGTTAAAATGTGAGAACGTTAGGATTATTTGTTGGTTAGAATGTTTAAAGTGATTTTAATGGCATATTTGTAGTTTATAACAACTTTATTTTTTTATTTTTTATTTTTTTAATTTTTTTTATTTATTTATGATAGTCACAGAGAGAGAAAGAGAGAGAGGCAGAGACATAGGCAGAGGGAGAATCAGTCTCCATGCACTGGGAGCCCGATGTGGGATTCGATCCCGGGTCTCCAGGATCGCGCCCTGGGCCAAAGGCAGGTGCCAAACCGCTGCGCCACCCAGGGATCCCCGCCACCCAGGGATCCCCTATAACAACTTTAAAAAATAACCTTAAGCCATTATAAATCTGGTTAGAACATTTGTTACAAGATATCATTTAAAATTGTTTTCTGGGGGATCCCTGGGTGGCGCAGCGGTTTGGCGCCTGCCTTTGGCCCAGGGCGCGATCCTGGAGACCCGGGATCGAGTCCCACGTCGGGCTCCCGGTGCATGGAGCCTGCTTCTCCCTCTGCCTGTGTCTCTGCCTCTCCCTCTCTCTCTCTCTCTGTGTGACTATCATGGATAAATAAGAATTAAAAAAAAATAAAATTGTTTTCTGAAATGTTAAATTTTGGTTAAAGTTCTAGCATTGAGCATATTTGTGAAGAAATGCAACTTGGATTGTTGGTTAGATTCTTAGAATCCTGCAATACTGCAATCTCAGGATTGGTAAATACCCATGAGATGTCTTACTTCAACCCAGGGCATGAATGAATGTGAAATGACATGGTGGTGATGACGGTGATGATGGTGGTGATGGGGGTGATGGTGGTGGTGATGGGGGTGGTGATGGGGGTGATGGGGGTGATGATGGTGGTGATGGGGGTGATGGGGGTGATGGTGGTGATGGGGGTGATGGGGGTGATGGTGGTGGTGATGGGGGTGATGATGGTGGTGATGGGGGTGATGATGGTGGTGATGGGGGTGGTGATGGGGGTGATGGGGGTGATGGTGGTGATGGGGGTGATGATGGTGGTGATGGGGATAATGGTGGTGATGGTTGTGGTAATGTTGGTGGTGATAGGGGTGATGGTGGTGATGGTTATGGTGGTGATGGGGGTGATGGAGGTGATGGTTATGTGGTGATGATGGTGGTGGTAGAGATATGGTGGTGGCAGTGGTGGTGGTGATGGTGATGAAGACGTAGTATATCCAAGATCACAGAGGCAATCAAGGACATACTTAGGGACAGAATCCAGGTCGGTTCTCCGTTCCATACCTTCCCACATCCACCATCCCTTGCTCAGCACACCTTTCTGTCCTCTCCTCTCCGTGCCCCTGCCGGCCACGGTGTCTTGTCCGAGGAGAGAGAGCCAGGGCTTAACACCCACTCCCTGTCCTGGGACAGGGCAGGATACAAAAGGCCCACTCAGCCTATCTGAGAGCCTGAGTGTTTAGTGTGGAAAATCTAAAGCCCTGGGGCCCCTTCAGCACGGGGTCCCTCTGAGCTGGTAGCCAGGGAACCCTCCTGCCCAGCCCCACCTCTGCCCCCAGCCCAGGTTCTTTGACATAAACGGAGGCCAAGCCAGGCCTACCCATTCTGGGACTGGAAAATTGATATTGGCCTCAGGGCTTTAGATTTTCCATATTAAACTTCTAATCGACTGTGGCACTGAAAGCTCACTGCAGTTGCAGGGAATGCAGGTGCTGGACTCAGCCAGGACTGGATTCAGAACTGGCTGGGGCACGTGTAGCGGGCACTTAATGGGTGTTTATCAAATTCTGGCTCTACCACCACGGCCTGCACTGCGCCCTGGCAGGACCCTGCTTCTGGCCCGGAGCGCTCCAGGTCTAACAGGGGGAGACTGACAAGCACCCCGAGGACGCGGGTCCTCGTGGCCACAGGCTCAACACCAGGGCTGGGCCAGCAGAGTCACCGGAGAAATTGTCAACTGACCACCCAGAACATGAGGCTCCGGGGAACTTGGCTCGTCCCCTCGACACCAGCATCCAGCCCACACTCCGCGCCCTAGCCGCGCTCGTGTTCAGGAGAGAACACACGTCAGATCAGGCACAGAACGTCATAAAGTTATGGGACCTCCCTGGGGTGATGAGGGGGACACTGGGGAACTGCTGGGCTCCCCCAGGCTGCCGACCAAGAAGGATCTGGCTGAGGTAGACCAGATGGCAGTGCAAGAGAAGCCGTACGTGCTCTGCCTTCACAGGAGGAGGGCCTGGCTTTCAGAGGATTCACAGAGGCCCCCGGGAAAATGAAAATGAGGACTGTGGGGATATTTCTGCAGAGTGCTGCTCATCCTGCACAAACTCAGACTCAAAGGGAAGGACAGTGCATGGTGCGTCAGAACACCTGCCATGGGAGCCATCCTAAAGCACCATTTACTGGGTCTTCATGGTGGCCAGGACTTCGTGGCACCATTCTACCCATTTTATGGAGGAAGATGGAGGCTCAGAGAGGAGAAGGGGCTTGTCGAGGTCACACAGGTATGAGGGACAGAGCGGGGACTCAAGCCTGGGTTGCTGACCTTAGGGTCTATCCCTGGTTCCTCCCTCCAATTTTCTCTCCCCCAACTCCCCAGTCCTAGGCCAAGGGCCAGGGACCTCTCCAAACACTCCCAGTTGATCACCAAAGATACAGGGGAGATCCCAGCCTTGGTTTTAACACTCACACCTGGCCCAGGCTCTGACTCCTTGGGTCCAGCTGGAAGCTCTGTCAGAGGGGGTGGCAGTGGGGGTCAGAGCAGAGCGTGGCCACGCCTACCCACTCGAACCTGCCCTCCACCCTAAGGGTTTTGACCTTGATGACTTGGGAGCTGTCAAGCTGGAAGATGCGATCCTTTGGGAATGTCATCTCCGGAGGGGTGGGGGGAGCTGTCTTCTGGTCTCCGCTGTTCCAGATGGGAGCCCCATCCACGGTGGCTGGGGAAAGCTGCTTGGGGGCTTGCGTGTTCACCATCGGAGCTGCCCTGGCTGGCCGGGGGTGGGAGTGGGCAAGGGTGAGCATAGGGCAAAGGTGGGCCTGGGGTCTAGGATGGGACAGGCAGGAGTTAGGGTCAGGGTCATTTGGTGTCAGGGTCAGGTTTGTGCCGGTCTGGGGATGGAAGTCCAAGTGGGCCAGGGGTGGGGGACATTTTATAGGGCTGTGGTTGGGGCTAGAAGTAGGTTTGGGAGTGGATCTGGGGTGGGGTGTACTGGGGGGTGTGGACATGGTCTGAGCTGTGGCTGTGGCTGGGGTGGCAGTGGGCTCACTGGGGCGGCCCTCGGGGGCTCACCTGTCTGGTTTGTTAGGAGCTGATACAGGTGGCCCAGCCCTTCCATGCTGGAGTGCTGGATGGCCCTGTCTGGGTCCTGGCACAAAATCCCCAGCATGCCCACCAGCTGCCCAATCCGCCTGAAGTCCTCTTTTGGCTGTGGTGAGAGACCGACCCTGAGTCTCCCTCCTGCTGAGCACTCACCCCAGCAAGGCCAGCATCAGGAATCATCCCCTCCAACAGTAGTGGCAGGGCTGGGACTCAGCTCTCAGGACCCCAGGCTCAGGCTCTGCGCACCCAGCTGGGCGACTACAGTTACCAGCCCAGGGCACACTGGCCAAAGCTTGCCCAAAGAGGTTGCCCCCAAACTTGCAATATTTTGATGCGATATTTAGAAAAATCAAAATGAAGGTAACAGTTCCCGAGGAGCACAGTTTCAAAACTGTAAATACAGATGGTCCGTCCCTGCGCTTCCATGACCTTGCCTCATCTTGCCTCATTCCCCTGGCCCTAACCCCAGTCCTGATTTCAATAAAATTTTATTTACAACAACAGGCAGCCAGGCTGGTGGCCATTTGCTGAGCGGATTGTCTTAAAACATCACATTAAAGTGTTTATCTTGATTGTGGAGAGCCCTGGCGCCTGGTAGATTTCGTGCCCCAGGTGAGTGACTCCCTGCAGACGGCAGGCCCCATTCTGGTTGTGGCAATTGATTTTGAGTAAACTGCAGGCCCTTTAGGCCCTCTAGAGGGGTCCTCCTCACCCCGGGAATGCCAGAGGAGTGCGTGCAGGGCGCTCTCCCCTGGCGGGGCAACCCCGCTGCCCGTGCCCGCCGGGCATCAAGCAGAGGAGCTAATTTTCTCACGACCCCACGAGTCTCCCTGAGGAGTGAGCGCTGCTTTGGGCTGAGAAATGCAGAAGCGCTCACTCCCCGAAGGCACCCATAGTCACTGAAGCCAAGGGTTATGGTGGCAGGTGGCAGTTAGGCTGTGAAGCAGGACAGGCTGAGGGTCACGACGGGTGGAGGGTCGTGGTGGACGGAGCCCGTGCCCGCGGTCACTGCTGCCCCCGGACTGGGGCGGGGCTGCACCTCATCTGATCCCCAGTGTACCCCTCTGAGGACTCACATCCTCCCGTTTCAGGGGCGGGAAGCAGGCTCAGGGGGTGCAAGAACCTGCCCAAGACTTCGGGGAGCGGGGCCAGGAGCCCAGCGTCCTGGGTCAGGGGTCCGGGTTCTGGGCCCAGAGCCCAGCTGGCAGGACTTGAGCAGAGGGCCCCCCTGTCCAGGGTCCCTGAACCCCAGGAGCCTGCGAGGCTCCGGGAGGAGGGCGGCCCGGCTGGGGCAGCGGAGGGCGCGTGGGGCCGGTACTCACGTCCAGGGAGTGGCTGTGGCTCAGGAATCTGAGGAGGGCGGTGCTGCGGCCCACAGCCCGCTGCCGCTCCTGAGCCTTCTCCGACGCCAGCCAGGGGTACAGGTGCTGCGGGGAGGGGCAGGTGCGGGACGGGGTGCTGCGGCGTGCAGCCCTGCCCCTGCCCCGGCCCCGCCCCGCCCAGGCCTCGGCTCAGGCCCCGCCCACCGGCCCCGGCCCCGCCCACCCTCGGATAATCCCCGCCCCCACATGCCACGCCCCCTGCCCGGCCCTCCGGTCCCTCTGCTCAGCCTCCGGGGTCATGTGCTTCCCACCCACCCCCCCACCCCCGGTGCCAGAGACGACTCACTCCCTGCCCAAAGCCCTTGGAGGCTCCTGGCTTTTAACCCGCTTTGCGACACGCACCCCGTTTCCAAACAATGCTTTTCTGTGCACCCCGTGAATGCGCAGAATTACAGGGCAATGCCAGCAGGTATATCGAGCAGTTTCAAGCCCGATGTGAGCCTCCTTGTTCAAGCGACAGATGATTCCAGTTAGTGATCCTCAAGTTGGATGTGCTGTGCCCCAGCAATGTCCTGTGACCCACCTGCCACTCCCAGCACTGCCGTGGTTTGTGGCCAACATTTCCAGAGGAGGGACACTCGCAGTGGGCGGTGAGCGAAAATGCAGGTATTTCCCCCCAGCCAGGCTCACACCCAGACTTCCGTGTGTGCACCTGCTTGAGCAGAGCCACCGACTCCCCTTACCTCCCCAGGCCCCCAGGCTGGGTGGGGTCGCACGTGTCTCACCGTTGGCCCCACCACGGCCTCTGCCTGCTGGGCCCTTCCCTTCCCTTCCCTATCCAGTGACCTCCTCGGTCCAGTGTCCCCTCTCTGATTCCTCCCTTCCCCCTGGACTGTCCCTGCCTGTTGACTGATTTCCCTCCTCTCAAGGTGAGCGCCCTGGAGGGCAGTGAGAGAGTGGAGGTGCCGCTTGTGAGCCCCCTCCTCACAGCTGGAGACATGGCTGCAGAACAAGTTCTCTGGGAGGGAGGGCAGGTCCCAGCCAGGGGCAGGGCCTGTTTCCTCATCAGCTCCCTGTATGTGCAGCACTTGAGGCCCACCTAGTGCCCTGTGCACCTGCTGTACCGCCCTCCAGTCCTCCAAGCCACTGCGATCCCCGAAGGTGGACAGCCCTCAAGCCTCTGTGTTCCTGGACTCGCCTACCCCACCCCAAGTGGAGGCCCTACCTCCTCTAGGACATCTTCCTTTGTCCATCCTCTGCCCCCTCTGGGCCACCCCCACCCCCTGCCCGGTGCCAGCTGGTCCTCACCGACAGCAGTAAGTGCAGCTCGTCGGTCGTGGGGCTCTGCATGATGAAGCTCTGCAGCAACTGGTCCAGGGCGCTTGAGGTCTTGTTGTAGAGGGTCTGTGTGGGGACGTGGGGCAGGTCAGGTGGCCACCAAGCCCCAGCTGCGATGGAGCGCCAAGGCCTGCAGCGGGGCCCGAGTGTGCCCATTTCTCAATGAGAGTGGTTCCCATTCCTGCACACTCCCGAGGCGGGCTGCACCCCCTGGGCGTTCACACCATGTCCAGGCAGGCCCCGGTCATACTCCCCGCTTGGAAGCTGGGGAGATTGGGTGGGGGGCATTCTGGGTCAGACCTGCCCGAGGTCTGGTTCCTCAGGGGCCCAGGTCAGTTCATTCCCAGCAGGGCTGGCTTCTCGGGCAGGCCACCTGCAGAAGGCCTGGCGCCCGGATGGATCTACTTGGTTTAGTGCTTTGTGGTCCCATCTTGAAATCCTTCATAAGCTTTAAGCAAGGGCCCACATTTTCATTTTGCATGAGTTGTGGCAAATTCTGCAGCTGGTCCTGACTCTTGGGTCTCATGGGAGACCTCCAATCTTTGCTGCTTGGCTCACCAGGCATGCTCAGGGAGGGAGAGGGCCACAGAAAGCACCCAGTCCACCTCCCTGTCAGAGTGCATTGGAGCAGAGCCCTGGGCGCTGGCCATCGACTCCCTGGATGCCCTGGGGAACTTGCTTCAGCTCTCTGGGCCTCCCTTGGTGACCCAAGAACTGGGTGTACAGCCAGCCCCACCTGCCAGGGTGGGGGTGCACCCTGAGTGAGGATGAGCAGGAGCCCCAGCCTGGTGCCTGGCACTAGGCTAAGCTCCCTTGGTGAGCCAGCCATGATGTCATCTGGTGACGGGGATGCTCTGGACTCCTGTGGGTTGGGCTGGGGAGCTGCTGTGGTCTTGCCCTGGACCCAGGGGACCCTTTGTATTCTCACTGCTCCCCCCACCCCAAAGTGCTTATCTGTCCCATTCCAGTCTGGACCCAGCCTAGGGGTGTGGCGTGAAGATTAGGGCCCAGGGGCCGGGGTGGAGTTTGACCCTGACTCTCCCAACAGACACCTCCATTTCTCTGAGCTGGCTTCCTCGCCCTCTGGACGAGTGGGGGTGAGGGGAGCTAACGTGCACACAGGACCGGGCACATAGCAGCTGCTCAGCTAGCACTAGCTCCCTGCCCTTTACAGTAAACACTTGGGGATCCATTGCTGGTGGTGCCTCGGGGAGATGGGTACATGCCCCCTGCAGTGGAGGCTTTTATTAACAGATCCCAGGAGGGGGTGGGCATCTGGCCCAGCGAAGGGTGGGTCGGCTGGGGCCTGGGTGTGGTGTGACCAGCTTAAGGAGTTTCATAGGTGAGACTGAGCCCAGGGCTGCTTTCAGGGCTGGCAGGGACCGAGGCTGCGTGTACTCCTCCTATTCAGAGTGCTCTCTGCACCAGGATGCCAGCGTCCCTTCCAGCCTGAGCATCAGGCACCATTAGCTCCACAATTATCACCCCCATATCATAGGTGGGCAAAGAGGAGGCTCAGAGCAGTTAAGAAACATGCCCAGGGGGATCCCAGGGTGGCGCAGTGGTTTAGCTCCTGCCTTTGGCCCAGGGCGCGATCCTGGAGACCCGGGATCGAATCCCACGTCTGGCTCCCAGTGCATGGAGCCTGCTTCTCCCTCTGTCTATGTCTCTGCCTCTCTCTCTCTCTGTGGGACTATCATAAATTAAAAAAAAAAAAAGAAACATGCCCAGGATCTCCCAGCCCTGTCTATAGGGGGCCAAAGGCCCCGCCTGTGTAGCCCACACCCCCTCACAAGCCATGAGCAGCAGGCAGAGCCGGGGCTCCTCTCATGGAAGGGGTACCATGTGCCTGCTTTGCACCTGTATGTTGGGCGGCTCTAGAAAGAGACAGGTGTGTTTCTCCAGGACGTCTAGCAGTGGCAGGGCCAACACGCTGTGGAGGCAGGTGGACAGCAGCTGTGACTTCTTCTCCAAGTCCAGGGGCGGCCTCAGCTTACTATTTGGAGGTAGAGGGCTGTGAGGGAGGGCGGTGGGGGCTGGTGACTGCAACAGGGCCACCTTTTGGAATAGAGTCAGGGAGCCCCTTGCAGCAGCCCCTTGCACAGTCTGCTCTTGGCCAGAGAGCGTACACTTGACTTGTAGAGTGTACACTTCTGCCTCCCTGGCCTGCAGGGCCTCCTGGGCAGGTGAATTCCAATGAGGGTTTGTAAGGGACTAGCATGGCCTGGTTGGGAGCAGATGCTTGACAAGCCCTGTACCCCAGGCTCCCCCTTAACTGGACAGATCGGTCTCACCCAGGCCTGGTTCTCAACCTACCAGGAACGTTGGTGGCTCTGTTTTGGCACATGATGCCAGACTTTCATTCTTTGAGGTGTGAGTTAATAACTGTAGCTACTGTTTGCTGCGGGCCTGTTACAGGCCTGCCCTGGGGTCTGGCCCTGTGTGGGGCTGGGGAGCCTACCAGAGGTTGGAGATGATGTGAATGGTCTGCTGGCGGGTTGGCGTGCACAGCGTGTCCCGAGGTTCCTTCTCCATCAAAACCTGCAGGTCCCCAGGTGAACCTGAGTCATTCAGGCCTGGGCCTATCCCACTTCTGACACCCAGGCTCACCCCTCATCCTGAAGACCTCGGTGCCTGGTGCTCCCGGGACCCACAGGACTATGCTCCAGCTTCTCACCCACCCGTGGGCACCTCTGTCACTTGGCTCCACTCAGAGAACTAGATCACAGCCTTTTGCATGCACAGGTCATGTCTGGGTCCTGGCTACCCACTACAGGCTGCATGACCTTGAGCAAGTCTCCAAGCTGCTCCAAGCTTTGTTTATTCACAAATAACATGACGTTGTTGCACGTGTTATGTGTGAGGCAAGGTGTGCCGAGCACAGTGTCGGAGTCACAGCAGGAGCTCAGTAAATTGTTATCTTATTGTTACGGCTCTGATTGTCCCTCACTTACATGCTTCCTCCACTACCCTGGGGTTCTCTGAGCCCCAGATCTCTATGAGCGGAGGTGAGAGCAAGGGCAGTATTAGTGGAATGGATGGTGTTGGCTTTCTGAGCCTCAGCTGCATCAGCTGTGAGGTGGACATACCTGGGCAGCTCAGGGTCACCAAAGAACCAAGAGAAGAGGGGGGCACGCATGTGCTCTCAGCTGTAGGAGCCTATGAGGGGCTCAGCTGCACCCCAGAAATCCAGCTTCCCCACCCCTTTCCAACTCCTGCCCCTTGTGGATGCCGCTGGTCCCAAGAGGCCCCTTCCTCTGCCCTGGGACCTTGACTCACCATCAGACAATCGAGGAGCTCAGACACCTGGGAGAACTCATAGCTGTGGGCCCCCTCATTACGGTTGATGGCCCCCACCAGCATGAGGACGGCACTGAGGAAGCTCTGCTTCAGGGTCTCGTCCTGGCATGGGGTCAGGCCGTGGGGGGGTGCAGGGGGCACAGGAGGGGCAGGAGGGAGAGCCACAGTCACCCTGGCTGCAGGGCACCTCTGGGGGGGTACAGCAGAGATCTCTAGCTGGGGTCACTTAAGTGGGGCTTTGGCTGGGGGAGCCTGTGGGGTTTTGTTTAAGAATGTGACTATGTTGACCACGTTCCAACATCAGGACAGCCCGATGTCTGGCCTCCCTGGACATGTGGCCCCCCAGAGCCCAGAGATCCGGGGTAGGCAGTGGCCTCACAGGCCTGGCTGGGCCTCCTAGCCCTTGGGGTGGACGCCCCAGGTGCAGAGTGTAGAGTAAGAGGAAGGTCATCCTGGGGGTTGGGGGGGGGTACTTAGCCGGCCTTCCAATGCCACCTGGTGAAAACCAGGGAGATTGAGGGGCTGGGGTCCTCATGGAAGCCCTGGTGGCTGTGGGAGGGGTGATGAGGTAAGTAGGTGGGGCAATGAGGAGGCCTGGCTCTTCCTGAGTCCAAGGTGGGGTAGAAGAGGGGAGGAGGGCTCCGAGGCCCTGGAAGGTTCTAGAATTCTCTGACTCAGGTTGTGGTGGGGTTGGGGCTGGGAGAGGCTGTGCTACAGAGAGGGGGCCCCCGGGAGCCGTACCCAGGAGCTGTAGTGGAAATAGAAGACCATCCGCGACAGGATGTTGTCCACCCACGGGAGGATGTGCGCCTTGGCCCTGACCGCCATCTGACCGTAGGACAGGAGGATGGTACTGCTGGCCCACTTCCACTGGAGGTCCTCTGCATTCTGACCACAGCGGGGGCAGAGACGGAGTGTCAGGGCCCTCCTGACTCCTCCCTGGGGGAGCGGCGACAGGAAGTACCCTGGGCCCTAGCACAGTACAGCAGCCACGCTGTCCTGAGTGCTGGCGAGACTCAGTTTACCTCATTAGGAAAACAGGGAAGATGAAATTGTCTCTGGAGGGTTGGAATGGGCCTGGGGGGTTGCCCACGGTGTGTGCAGGTGCTTGGCTCTGCCACAAGGGGCCAGAGTCCTAGCCCCTCACCCCCCCTGCCCTTCGGAAGCCCCTTCCCCTGGAGCCTGGGACCAGTTACCCCCTCATTCCTCCCCCCCAACCCGGGGCTGCTGGGCACCATGCCTCAACCTAGAGAGGTGGGATCCGAGGGATCCCCCAGAGAGCAGGGCCATCTGAGACACCCCTCAGATGTCACCCAAGGGCCACACAGCTCTGCTGCCCACCAGTGGCCAGGCCCCCTCTGAGGGTTTGAGCTGTGGGTCCCCGTCCCTGCTCTGCCCCTGCTGGCTATGGGACCCCGAGGAGGTGGCCGGCCCTTGCTGGGCTGTGTGTTGCTAACTGACTTCCCCATTTTTTCTGGATGAGGCCCCTCATGTACTGTCTCTGCCTGGAGGCGGCATCCGGGGAGCAGTGAGGGCAGGGCCCAGGGCATGCCGTCCATCATGGGGGCACGGGCCCTGCTCTCTCGTGTCAGGCAGGGCACATGGTCAAACACCACTCATAAACACAGCAGCCCCCGCAGCACCGTGAGAGCTGTCCCTGGAGCACCTGTTGTGTGCAAGGCACCTCGAGCTATGCCTCATTTCCATCCCAACAGCTGGTGGTGGGTGGGGAATGGCCATTCAAGAGGAGAAACTGAGGCAAGAGGGCACAGGCAGGTGGGAGGCCAGGATGCTTGGTGCAAAGCCTATGCCCCTAAGGATCCCAGGAGACCCTGCTGGAGGCCCAGACCTTCATGGGGGGGGGTCCTGATGTCCCAGCCCCTTGCTGAGGCCCCCAACAACCCAGAGCCAGAACCTTCAGGCAGAAGCTGTGGAGGCTCCATTTAATGGGTGTGCTGCGGCCAAACTGCTCCAGGACAGCCCAGACGTGGTCCAGGTGGCGGGCTGCGGCCAGCCCTATGGTGAGTGCGATACCCTACAGGCACAGGGGAGCAAGGTCACCAATGCGGGTAACAGGACCAGGCCTGGACTCTCCCCCCGGGGTGTGGAACTTGAGGACCAGAAATGGAAGGGACTTGTCCAAGGTCACAGGACATCTGTCTCCCATCCCCGTGCTCTTTAGGACATGCAACTCTGAGGCCGACCCTGTGGGGGCATCACTTATGGGGGCCGGTGGGTAGTGTGGGAGCAGCAGGGAGGGTGACTCCCTGGAGGTCTGTTACCTCCCTCTGCCCCCACTAGCTCTGAGCAGACCTGGGCCAGAGGAAGGAACAAAGGTCCAGAAAATAGACGTGTGACAAAAGAGAGGACACAAGCTGTGATGGGCTCAGGGTGTGACAAGGGTCAGGGCTCAGAGTGTGACCAGGGTCAGGGCTCAGGGTGTGACCAGAGTCAGGGCTCAGGGTGTGACCAGGGTCAGGGCAGGCAGATCTGGGATGGGCTGGGGGCTGAGTCCTCACCTCCCTCTGCTTGGGCCACTGATGAGACGTGTCCAGGAGGGTTCTCAGGTGTGTCCTGACGGTGGTGCTGTTGTCCTCAGCTTGAAGGATCAGCCCATAGTAGATGAACAGAAAAGCCTGGGGGAGGTTCAGCTTCTTGTCCTGGGCCGGAGCCACTTCTGTCCACCCCAGTGGCCCGCCACCTCCCCTGACCAGGCTCCCGCAGCCACCCTCATGCCCTGAGACCATCAAGCCCCTGCTGGTGGTGGAGTTTCAAGGGTGCAGCTACAAGTCCTGCGGCTCAGGCTCCTGGCCCTCTGCTTTTCTGGGGTCCCAGAGTCTTTCTAGGGCCCTAGGCCCTGCTTTAGGTGTGCATCCCAGGGACAGAGACCCTGGGCCTGTGTCGTGGGCACAGGGGGTGTTGGTGGGGGACACGGTGTGGCCCACCTTCTCGGGGGGCTGCTCCTGATGTGTCCGGTCAGGCTTGGTGAGTGCCAACAGCAGCTCCTTGGACCACACGTCTGTGTTCAGGAACTGGACCGACTTGACGGCCAACTGTGAGCAGAGGGGGGTGGGCAGGGCTGGAGCTGGAGCCTCGGCCGGTCCCACCCACCCCGGCCGCTCGAGCCCTGACTCCATCGTGGTCCTGTCTTCCTCCCTCTGAGTCTACAGGGCCAGCCCTCCGATTTGTCTCCAGGAGCGGGGAACTCATTCCTTGAGATTCCCCTCCCTGGAGGTGTTCAAGGAGAGGCTGGAAGCCAGGAGCCTGCCCATTACACAGCGGTCGCCGTGGTGAGTGTGGTCACTACCTGTCCCCACACGAGGTCATGACAGTATCATTGACCACATTCCCCACACTGCGCTTTCCATCCCTGTGACGTCCTTAGTTCATTCCTGGAGACCTGTGCCTCTTCGTCCCCTTCCCCTGTTCTGTCCATCCTCCCACTGCCTCCCGGCTGACAGCCACCAGGTTTCTGGTGCTTCTCTGTATTTAGGAATCTGGTTCTTTCTTTTTTTCCTTCCTTCCTTCCTTCCTTCCTTCCTTCCTTCCTTCCTTCCTTCCTTCCTTCCTTTTTCTTTCTTTTCTTTCTTTCTTTCTTTCTTTCTTTCTTTCTTTCTTTCTTTCTTTCTTTCTTCTTTCTTCATTTGTTTTGGTTCTTTAATTCCACATATGAGTGGGAATCACATGGTGTTTGTCTTTCTCTGTCTGACTCAGTTCACTCAGCCTTATACCCTCTAGCTCCACCCATGCGGTCACCGGTGGCAAGATCGCATGTGTAATATTCCATTGCGTATACACACCACCTCTTTATCCATCTGTCTGTGGAGGGACTTGGGCCGCTTCCATATCTTGCTATTGTAGCTAATGCTGCGGCGAACATAGAGGTGCGTCTATCTTTTCAAATTTGTGGTTTTGTTTTCTTTGGATAAATGCCCAGTAGTAGGCTACCCGGACTGTAGGGTAATTTTATTTTTATTTTTTTGAGGACCGTCCGTACCGGTCTCCAGAGTGGCTGCAGCAGTTTGCGCTCCCACCACCAGTGCGTGAGGGCTCCTTTTCTCCGCCTGCTCGCCAACACTCATTCCTTCTGTGTTTGGTTCTAGTCATTCTGACAAGTGCGAGGTGGCATCTCATTGTGGTTCCGACTGGTATTTCCCCGATGCCGAGCGATGCCGAGCATCTTTTCATGGGTCTGTTGGCCGTCCGTGTGTCTGGGTTTTGACTATTTCTATCGAGGGGTGCTGGCCGCACAGTGAAAGGCATAGATCGATGCACTGCGACAAACGTACAGACCCACACAACTCACGGCCCGCCGAGAACTTGAGCTTACTCCACCATCCCAGAAAGCTCTCACATGTGCCTTCCCAGTCAAGCTCCATCACTACAGAACCTTGACTTATATCACCATGGACTAGTTTTGCCTTTCCTGGAACTTCGTACACTCGGAATCCTGCACGGACACGTCTGTGTGTCTGGTATTCTCAGCCCTGGTCTGCGGTGCCTTCGTCCTGTGACTTCTATTCCCCTTCTCCTCCGTGGTTTCTTCCACTTGCTCGTCATCCTCCAGCTTCTTCAGATGGAGGCTTACGGACGGACTTCAGGTCTTTGGTGGGGGCGCTGCTCTGTCTGGGTGGGCTGTCTCCAGCTTGAGGCTGGTGGGGGTAGGGTGTTTCGAGGGCTGCAGGGGGCCTCCCCTGCAGACTCTGAGCTCGGCCCTCTGCACTGAGCTCCGGTCTTGCTGGTGCCCCACTTGCAGTTCCCTTTTGCTTGAAAGCCCAGTCCCCACACCTGAGTTTTGGGGTCTGCTGGTCCAGTCTTCTCTCCAGCCCCCGCTCCAGGCCAGGAATTGCTGGTGGTCCCGGTCACTGCTGCCGGGTGAAGCTGCCCGTGTGTGTGCATCTTGCTTTGAAGACAAAGGCTGCTGCTAATGGGGCTCTCGGAAGCCCAACGAGCCATAAGAATTGGTGGGCATAGTCGAACACTTAAAAACTATTAGAGCGAGGGACGCCCGGGTGGCTCAGCGGTTGAACCTTTGACTCAGGGCATGATCCCCGGGCTCCTGGGATCGAGTTCTGCATCAGGCTCCCCGCAGGGAGCCTGCTTCTCCCTCTGCCTGTGTCTCTGCCTCTCTCTCTGTGTCTCTCATGAATAAATAAATACAATCTTTAAAAAAAAATAGCAACTGTTAGAGCGTTTGCCGCCTAACTCAGAAACCCTGTGTTGGGGTCAGTTGGTCATAGAATGGGTTAGATTGACACCAGGTCACCCGCTGACCTCAAGAAAACTTCCATACAGTGAGGTGCGCTGGAAAACAGGCACATCCCCGACCCAGCAGCACATCCCTCTTAGCTATTAGTTTGGCTCTGAGGAACCCCAAAGGCTTAGCTAAAAAAGAAAAGGCAAATGAACAAAAAGAATGAGACCCTTAAGCCCCAGGGCGCCAAGGGCCCTGCTTTCTGACATACCTGCTTGTTTCCTGTCTCGGAACTGTGGTCCTGGAGCTGTAAAAATCTGCGAAAATGGCAAAATCTTACTAAAAACAGCCTAACTTTGCACAAGGCCATTACGGGAAAGATTCCAATTAGACAGGATCGTTTATTTCCGAAGGGGAACTGGAGAGCAAGGCTTCCCAGGCTAAACGAACGGAACAGGAGACCCAGTTTAATTGCGATGCAGAAGCTTCCAAAAGGCTTCACCATCCCAGAAAGGCTGCAGCCGAGATTCATTGCAGGAAGGTCATGAACAGCGAGAGACACAAGAGGGGCCTAGAAGAAGACTGTGGGGCTGACGGGACCCCTCTGCTCGATCCTTCCTCCTTGACCTGCGTCCCCATGCTTTCCCGACTCTGCAGAGACTATGACACAGTTCCCTTTATTTTTTAAAAGATTTTATTTATTTATTCATGAGAGAGACAGACAAAGACAGAGAGAGAGAGAGAGAGGCAGAGACACAAGCAGAGGGAGAAGCAGGCCCCATGTAGGGAGCCCGATGTGGGACTCAATCCAGGAACCCCGGGGTCATGCCCTGGGCTGAAGGCAAGCTAAACTGCTGAGCCACCCAGGGGTCCCTGACACAGTCCTGTTGGGCTGGGCAAGACTGGGGACCTCAAAACGGCTGACCCCAGGCCAGCAATCTCCCAATAAGGTGCTTGCCGCCCTACCCTAACTTGGCACACAAAGACCTGTAACCCTTGCCCTAATGGGAATGCCGCCCTGCTCCCATCTTCCCGCCAAAAACTCTTTATAGACCCCCCTGCGGTTTGCCAGGGCATGACTTCCCCAGACAACAACTTCCCGGCTCTCCTCTCCCCTGCGGGCCGCGGAACATCACCCAAGAGCGCGTCCCAATAAAAGCCTGTTTCGACCAACTTTCGTCTGGCCTCTCTATTCCATTTCACTACCGATCGAATTAAACCTGACAGTTCCTTTTAAAAATGAAACCAACTAGAGGCTCAGCCGTCTTCCTCAGCGTCTTTTACTCCTTGGTCAAAGGCCAAACTAAGGACAGTTGTCAAAGAATTTCCTAAGCCCAAGGAGGGTCCCCAAACGTTTCCTGAAGAATTTCCCGTCCTTACCAGGGGCCATGACCCTAGGATGCCAGGTCTGGGTCAGCCGTGCACCTGCTGGTGGGGCCCTGGGGAGCCCAAAAGTGGATACAGAGGCAGGATGGGGTCACCTGAGGGTGCTCTTCCAGGTTCCCAACATTCACCAGGGTCCCCTGAGGGACTGCAGAGAGCGGTGACCTTTCACAAGCCATTCCTAGAGCTCCCCAGGCTCCTGGGAGGTTGGTCTGTTATTCGAATGTGCCAACGATGGACGCATCAGGGGCAGACTTTACAGCCCGTCTGGAAGGCCTGTCCTCCGGCATTCTGGGTTCCAGACAGTAACCTGGGGCACCTGACGTGTTCCAGCTGCCCTATTTGTACATGGATCATCTCCTGGCATTAGTGGATTGATAGAAAGCCAGAAAACAGGATGGGAGGCCAGGGGTCTGACTTGAACTCAGGACCACAGCTGTGCACTCTGGAAGGACGTCGGAGCAAGGCCACTAACGGGACAAAGTCCGCCCACCTGTTGGCCTGATGGCCGCGGCGTCAAGGTCAGGGACCCAGAGCAGCACCTGGGCCTTCCAGACCTGGCATCTCCGCAGTAATCGGCCGGACAGCGGCTGTCCCCCCAGGCCCCACGGGGACTCGCCCGCACCACCTTGAGCGTCCCCAGGGCCGCCCCCAAGCCGGGGCCCCACATGGACCTTCCAGGCCTGCGGGGGCTCCCGGGGCTCTCCGATCTCAGCCACTCCCTTAAACAGTCACGAGGAACTCAAATTAAATTGGTGGGCAGCCTTGCCACGTTCTGATCGACCCCAGAGCTCCTGGGACACGCTCTCCCCGGACAGCACATCCCCAGAGCCAGGAGGGTTTCCGTAGGGAGGGCATCTGGCCGAGTGCAGAGGGAGCCCCTGTCTCAGCCGGGGGCCCCTTCCCTGGAACACGGTCTTTTCCTGTTGTGCGGTACAGCCTCTGCCAACCTGTTCAGTGGGGACCTCCTTTCTGAATTCAAAGGGCTAATAGGTTTTGCCTCCAGTGGAGACCTCGCCTTAGAATTTCCTGATGGACGGGGACCTTTTATGTTCTTTACAATCTGTCCTTGACATAGAAGAGGAGGTATTTCAACACAAGTCCCTTAATTTAATTGAGGTTCCCGTGGGCCACTTCTAATGCCGACTCTGGGACAATAGAAGTCAAGAGCCTATAAAGATTCACACGGACACGACTACACTTCTTCCCAAATTGCCTCAATACCCACGGAAGCCCGAGTTCAAACGAGGCCTCACGCCAACGGGAGAAAGACCTGACCGCCCAGGGGCTGATCGCTTCCGTACCAGCCCTGGACAGGCCATCTTGCCCGTCCAGGACCCTCGTGGACAGGAGGGCGATAGGTCCAGACTGACAGCCACCAAGGTAGCTGTTCTACGTTTCCCAGTTCCCAAATCCGGACTCCCTTCTGTCCCAAGTTCCACCAGACTCACGGGGGTTCACTATTCACAATGGTGG